ACATGAACATAACACAAGAGCTGGCTTCCCTACATAGCATGTGCGACACTGTTACCGGAGAGGATATATTCAATGAGTTGAAAAAAAAAATGCTGTTATAACATGGACTGGACTAACCTCAGTTGCCTGACTTTTGATGGAGGCAATAACATGAGTGGCATAAAAAAAGGCTTGGTTGGACAAGTGAAGCAGATGTGTAATGAGAAAAACATTCTGCAAAGAATGTTCCTGCACTGTATTATTCACCAGAAAGCTTTGTGTACTAAATATATGGAAAGTAGCAGCGTATTGAATCCTGTGGTGAGGAGGGTTAATATAATAAGGCCATATGGGCTCAACCATAGACAGTTCAGAAGCTTGTTGAAAGATACAGACACAGAATCGCAAGACTTACCATATTACACAGAAATGAGATGGCTATGTTGTGAGAAAGTTCTGAGTAGAGTATTTAAGTTAAGAAAGGAAATATGTGACTTCCTGGAAAGTACAGGCAAGCCACAGCCATTAGTGTCTGATGAAGAGTGGGTATGGAAAATGGCCTTTGATGCAGACATAACTAGTCATTTAAACTTTCTGAAACTAAAACACCAAGGAGAGTAAAATCTAGTTTCGGATCTACACACTCACCTAAAGGCCTTCAAATCGAAATTCATCTTGTTTTTCGAACAAGTACAGGCCAACAACTTGACACACTTTCAGCAGTGGACAGTCTTCATGGCTGAAACAAGAGCGGAGTTCACCGCGTCATTTGCATGCGAGATCATCAAAGAACCCCAGCTGTAATTTGAGCAGCGGTTTTCTGACTTGGATTCAAAGGCAGAAGAAGTGAGACTGTATCAAAACCTATTGGAAGCAGATGTAGCCAGTTGCCCAGATGGACAGCAGCTGGAGGACATTGAGTTGCAAGCAAATGACCTCAGTAGGGACAAGTTGAAAGAAGGACGTGGGTTTTTAACCAGATTTTAACCAAGGAAGACTTTCCAAATTTCGAAACTTTTGCATAAATTTACCTTTCAATTTTCGGAACAACATGCCTGTGTGAACAAACATTTTCAAGAATGAAATACGTTAAGAAAAATTTTTGAACAAATTTGTCCGATGATAATCTCAGGTCACTGTTGATGTTAGGGACATCAAATCTATATCCAGAAATTTCTGCTAATCACTGCTATTTTGGCCTCCAGGAAACAATGTCACCATCAATGCTCCCTCTAAGGTTTTTTGGTTCGTTTGCAAAATCATAAAGTTGTGTTCAAAGTTTTACAGCATCAATTTTTGTTTGTGCAAAATTCTACAGCCCGCAAACACAAACACACACTTACATGGAAATTTGCTGCGCGGATACTCAAAACTGCTGCGTGTCGTCTGTGAGAAAGCTGCGCGGCCTCGCAGCCGCGCAGCTTAAAGGGAACATTGGTCACCATTCCCACTGAATTCAGGTGTTATTGTGTCGTGTATAAGTGTATTATTAAATAGTAACTGAATAAAATAATGTTAACTAAATAATTAAAAACAAAATCAATGTTTTGAGTCTTTTTTATTTGGACCTCGAGTGTGTAGTCGGCCCCCGAACTGCTGCTTGTTAGGTAATGCGGCCCCCGGGCTGAAAAGTTTGGAGACCCCTGGTCTAGAAGAATGGCGCCAAAAGAACTTAATCTGTAATATTTTAAAGCAGTGAGCATCTCAGATTAAATAACATTCAAACTTCATTTTAAAGATTATCTTTTTAGTCTTCAATTTGTTGAAAAACACAAATTATAAATAGTTTTATTTTAAATAAAAGCGGGCCCCTCTCTCTGGACAAGACGATGTGGTTATTATAAGTTTGAAATTCGACTTTATTTTTAGAAGAAAAAAAGGATTATGAAACGTATGTTTGCCAAAACAGAGGCACTAACTAATTCATCAGGTAAATAACAGATAAGTTTTTGAAAAAAAAAAAGTTTTCCCATTAAAATTGGTTGGAAAATGTAAGATGTGTAGCTTATAAAAAGGAAAATTAAATTCTCATCCCTATATCCCTGGCCTAGATAGTTGTGAATATTATGAGTTTAAAAACCTCCAGTTTTTCAATTTAGATTTAAAGGGCATTCGTACCAAGTTTCGTCTAGATCAGACCTGCACAACATACGGCCCGCCAGCAACCACTTTGCGGCTCGCGAAGTAACGAAATATTATTTATTATTACTTTCTTAATAGCTTTCCCCCATGTCCTACTTTTCTCTCGGCCCGTATATGTTTTTCATACAGTATTACGGCCCCGCCTTACATTTTGAGTTGTGCATACCTGGTCTCGATCTATTCATAAAGTGTAATTTTATTTATACCGTGTTACGACCTTTCCTATTCACGGAAACGTCTGTGCTAACGAAATGTTACATCTCTTTTCTTAAGGCCGTCCCGTGTGTCGAATCTTACGATTGCCATACTCATTACTGGCACTTTTGTCTAGCTTCATTGCCACATAGCCATGATTGGTCCCACATTTAAGATCAACAGCCAACGTTCAATGAGAGAAGATTTAACGATTCTTCTTCTTCTATATCTCAAGGGCCCACGATCAATTTATTGTTACAGGAAATTCATCAAATTTGAAAAGGGATAACGAAATGTATTTGACCAAGTTTGGCCTAGATGCGACAATTCACATAACAAGCTTTCATTGTAACCTAACCCTTCGTGTACAGCTTTGTCTATTATAAAGAAAATACATAGTAGAGACTCTTACAAACAATTGGAACTTTAAATTTCATTTTGAAACATTTGAGAAAAAATCATAGAGATTTATAGGAGCATAAGAAACATAAAGACATGTTTAAAACTACTTCGTCAATATTTGATGTCAGTAACAAATATTTAGACAAACATATTATGTGTTTGGAATTAAAATACGCTTGTACTGAATGTACAACATGTAAATAAATCAATAATAAAAGGGAAATCTACTGTGGACTGAAATCCCCACAAAATGCTCCCTCCAGTTCAGGAATGCAGTTTTACACACTGCTGATTTTTTTATAAATCACAACAAAAATAGGATTCTCCATTTCACACACACATCTACTTGATCATAACTGTCAACTACTAAGTAACCCTAAAGCACCCTTTATGCACGCCCCTGAACTATATGATAATTATAACATACTATTTTATGAGAGCACATAGAATAAAACTTTTAAAAAATAATAATTTTTTTTACATTTTAATTTTTTTTTTAAAGGGTGCGCCAAATATAATCGCACATTGTAAGCTTTCCTTAAATAGATGTTCGAAAGCGCACGTTCTATTAAAAATGTGTACTCCAAAAATAATTTAACTTGAACGTCCCTCGAAGCAATTCAAAATGAAATATTTTTTAGTCTTTACCCTCTGCATTTCGAGTAAAAAACAACAACATCTTTTTAAAGAGTTTTTTGATAATGGGATTATAAACTAATTTTCCAGGAACCATCTGTATATCAGGAGGAATGATCATGTCAACATTAGATACGATCCATTTGTTTGATTTTCTCATGATTGATCGACACATTTACATACATACAAACATAATGACACCGAGCTTTACATACTACATAGGAAGTTCTCGACACATATGTACGTACATAAGATTTTGGACAGTCATGGGAAAAACCTTATAGCTAAGATAAATTTAAAAAAAATATATATATATTAAAAAAAAAGTTTCTTGATAGCTAAGGGTGCTCATTTTTATGAAGGATAAGTGGCACTGTCCGAGAATGTGGGAAGATATCTTGAAAATAGCAACGCTTGCGCATTTGATTTATGTATGTCACACTAATTCACATTTACTCATCTTTAATGCGATTGGCAGGCATGGTGTGTAACTCAATCCTTACAGACGAGCACTTGTAATTGTATTGTCGGCTACATTTAAAAGATATTAGATAGTAGAGCACGTCTCCAACTAATGTTATATTTAGAGTCGAATAACTCAATTGACAAATTGAAAATTTCGAAATAAAAAAAATGATGGTTAGGCCAAGCTTTAATTCTTACCGGCTGATTTTCAAAGACATGTATATATATATATATATATATATATATATATATATATATATATATATTTACCTTAACACTTCCAATTGCTGTATTAGCAATACTTCTAAAACAAGAATAGTAGAGTCCCAAGCCCAATGATTGTCAAAAATATTCGGAACAAGATGTATGGGAACGTGAAAAACAAAAAAAAAACACGATTTTTTTTTTCGCAAAGAAAAAGAAGTGTATCTTTAGTAAGTGTAAGTGCAATTTTCTAGAAATGAAGAATTCTATTTCTAGAAAATCTGACAGAGTAAACAAAAACAGTGGCCATGTTTGAAAAAAAGTTTCTAGGCGTTAATTTTTGTAAAAGAAAATTTCTCTTGCGCGCACTTCACTTTTTATTTTATTTTGTGTTGATTTGCGTTTCAGGAATGCCTATGAAAGTATGTAACGGTTGGTACCAGTCTATATTGGTATTTAGAGAAACCGCATCCCTGAAATCAAAATAGTTCAAGTAACCGGGCATGTAAAAATACACGATCGGGTCACTTGTTGCACTGTTTGTAACCGTAACAGATCAGTTGCTCCCTTTTGGATATTGTACACCAACATGATATTTTCAAGGTATTTTTGCAACATTTTCATCCTATTTTATATATGTGGTAAGGTGGACGACATCGACTTATTCTTCAAATAAAATTAATAGTTAAAATTATGCATCTTGTCGGTTTAACCCACCCCACCCCTTTTCCTCCCATCTCATCAGAACTATCCATTGTTTAGTTAAGGTGGAGTCTACTTTAAAAGTAGTCTCGATGCTTCTTAAAAACCAAAATCATTCTTAGATTTACCCAAATATTAATAATCATTGGTATTACTATTTAATACTAATAGACTAATCTGAATCAAATCCCTATCTGCTAGCCTGCCCACTGACAAGAAGACTACTAAGACTCTTACTCTTAGTAGTAAGAAAGAGTCAAGAGTTTAAGTTTACTTAATGAACCAATCAAAAAGCGGCCATAAAGCGTAATCAATTATTGAGTTAGCCTCATTGGAATAGGCTAAATTTAAAGATATGACCATGACTCATGACAATGTTTAGAACTACTAGTACTAGTTCTAATTATAGCCCTATTCAATACCTATAATCTATAGTCTATAGGTATAGGTGTGGCACCTGTCTTTGGTTCCATGGTCCATACACTTAAGTCATACTATAAATAGTACAGAATAGTAGTATACAAAAAATGACATTCAGTTCAGCATAACCTTTCTACTACTCTACTGTAACATTCATTACATTCATTACAATTACATTTAAAAAATTGAGTTTGCCTGCAACTGCAATATTATAACACATATTAGATTAGATATTTTAAAGACATATAGTTATTATGTGATGATGATGACAATGAAAATGATAGTTTTCAAACCTATATTAACCCTGTCCAAAAATTAAATATTAAATATCTTGTTTGTTTAAATATAGATATGCCCAAAATGACAACACCCAATACATAGACTACAAAACAGTGCTAAATGGACAAAGAAATAATCATTAATACCATTAACTTAACCCTCTTGATTAAATCAGTGATTAAAAAAATTAAATTAGTTATAGGCCTACATTTGGATGGACATAAGGCATAATGTTATTACATTACATTAATATGATTACATTAATACAGTAATAGCCCTCCAAAGATTTTAAATAAATGTTTTTTTTAAGGCATTCAATTAGATTTAAATTATTTTGACGAAAGAACTAATCTTCAATTTATAAATGTAACAAAAAAATAAAGAAATTAAATAGTGTAAATTTTAAATGATTAATTGTGTTAAATAAGTGTTAAAAGTATGTTTTATTGATTTATTGAACTAATTTTTTGGTTTCATTATTGAATGCTAAAAATTCTTATAAAGCCTTTTGTTAAAATAACATAATTGTGCATTCTAAGCGCACCAACACTGCCATCACTCCCATAGATAACTAATTATATTTTATTTGATAGTTTTTTTTTACCATTTAACAAGATAATGATGAAAGAACTTGTCCGTAAGAACAATGAGAATCATATATACATTTTCATTAGATTATTTTACAATAATTTACATGCAGCAATATATAAGGTTCCTTTAAAAAAAAAATAAACCCTCTAATCCCACAAAATGAAGATTTACACCAGTAGAATCCTTTCATTACATATTAAAGACAAAATAGAATAATACTCACAACGGGGGAATGGAGGGGTCAATTCAGATTTTGGGCTGCTAGGGGCAAGAGGTGTAGCTTGGGGGGGGGGAGGAGTGCAGAGGGGGACAGTTGTGCCCTGGTGTAAGACTAGTGGGGCGCCAAGATGTGCCTTAATGGTATTTAATGAATACAAATAATGGGTTTCAGAGTTTTTTTGGGGGGGGGGAAATTTTGAATCTTTGTACCCTGGCGCCAACAAGGAGTGCAGAGGGGGACAGTTGTGCCCTGGTGTAAGACTAGTGGGGCGCCAAGATGTGCCTTAATGGTATTTAATGAATACAAATAATGGGTTTCAGAGTTTTTTTGGGGGGGGGGGGAAATTATGAATCTTTGTACCCTGGCGCCAAACACTCCAGCTATGCCTCTGCCATTTACGTAGAAAGTGGGCAGATGGGGTTGTTCGCCCAGGTGTCACTTTTTCTTTATATGGAGGGCTATGGTAATCATTTGGCACAAGCTTAAATCCAACCCTGTACTGTCGCATAGATCGGCATGAGGGAATGGGGCAGCAGAAATTAAGGTTGCCAAAGATTCTCTAGCAAAAACAGGAGCTCTTTAAGTACATTAGGAAATGGCATCAGCGAACCGCTGAGCTTTACAAGCTCTTAATGCCCTCCCCAAAGCACCCCCGTTAGCCCAAAAAGTCCCTAACTATCAGGCAGCAAAGCGGATTGTTTGAGATCTCCTCATGCTAGGACAACCCTTGCCCATAACTTCACTCAAGTAACTAGCTTTATGGGGGAAATGTCAGCCTAAGGGCATGCGGTTGGGGATGTTGCTCTCACAACATCAGCAGTCAACTTGCCCAGGGATCAGCATGGTGCATTTACATCTATCTCCCCCCGCCCAACCTGGGGAAGCATCGAATGCCCTCTAATAGGATTTTCTACAGTGGCTTCTACTTCGTAAATAGTTCATGAATTAGCTGGGATAAATCGGTTGCCTAGGAACAGCCTCCTCCGTGGCTGTGTAAATAGAATCACTAGCATGAGGCTGCCAATACCCATCTGATGCTTCATATCCATCATCAGCAACATAGTAATCAAGATCCCCAACCTGTTTCTACCATTATTTCAACTGCAAATATGACTACAGCTCCAATTTCAGCAGATAACATGCATGCCCATATGTCTGCCCATGCGGACTCAGACATTGGTGGTTATGTTCCCAGGTTGCGCTATGGGGTCATTGGCTGCGCCTCTTTCTCAACATGCCACTACAGACATGTTGACCAAAACCCTGGAAATGGGGTGGGGGGAGGGCTGGAGAAGAGTCCCCTTATAAAAATTTTATAAGGGGTCCTCTTATAACATACATTTTTTTATTAATTCAAAATGAAGGGATGCCTTTTGCTGCATATTTGAATTCGGTATTTCTTTCAGGCAATTTGGTTGGGTCTTTTCAGACTTTCGGGTGGTAAGCGCCAAACGTAGCCATGATCAGGAACATCTCTAACTCCGCCTCCAATAACTAACATTAGTCATTCTTCTTCTTTATAACTACAGCATGTCTTAATTGAATGTGTTGACACTTTCTGAAGCTAAAAGTGTGATCTTCTTTGTTGCATAAGTATATGTTTAGAGTCAAAATCAGTGATAATTTTAGGCTATATTTTATTATATTCATTTTCTATTTATTATTTTACTCCAGCTGGAAACTTCAGATTAAAATCATATATTCGCATAGGCGATAGACTTTTTAAAACGCAACCTCTATCATCATGACATTTTTGTCCATGTATGCTGAAAAATGAGGATAAATGTTGAAAGTAAACTGAACTCAATAACTTTGTTGAGACTGACATGGCAATATATTACATCGTTAATTTAAATACAGAAATCTGTATTACTACAAAGCGGATTGTTTGAGATCTCCTCATGCTAGGACAACCCCTGGCCATAACCTTTGCATAATTTACAGCAGATTTATATCATAATTATATCTAAATTGCTAGCAAATTCATCATCTGATTCCATTTTTTACAAATTGCTAATGACCAGTGTAAAAAAAAATTAAAATTTTGAAAAAAATCTGACTTAAATCAAGCTATTTTCAAATAAAAATGCTATCCATTTTTTTATGAATGATGTAAACATGCTAAAAATGGGAGTGCAGCGAACAGGAGATAATTCATTTTACATTCATGCATTTAAAAAACATCTAGATTGTAGATAAAAATTAATAAAAAATTATGACTTATACAATTTTTTAAATATTTTTTTTGATGTTGAGTTTTTCATGCTGTTGTACAGTTCAAAAAAAACAAACTTTTTGTGCAGTTCTCTGTTCCCGCAGGTTGACAAGCATACCTCACACTAATACTCTTATCCACAGTCTCAGTGATATTTCCAATGATTTTAAGACTTTTTAGCCTTCTGAAATATATGCTTTTGTACAAAAAGAATATAAAGTTATAAAATAAGATTGTTGTAAGACCTTCTTTAGTCTAAAAGTTTTACTTTTTAAATGTCTGATTTTATTACTTTTATTATATTTTTAAAAAAAAATCTTTTTAAAGTAAACGTTTTTTTGACCATATTTTTGTTATTTACATGTAAGCAATGTAGATGCACTGCTAATGACATTCATAAAAAAGGATGAACAAATTTAAATCTTTCTCCTGAAATTGAGTAGTTATCCAGCTCATAAGATATTTAAATTAATGCTTTTTTAACTGTAAGCTGTTATTATGATCACTGCCAAATCTTTTGTTACAATATTGGTAACTGTTGAAACCATTTGCATATAATCCATGAAGTAGTGCCTTTGTAGCATTGATATTCAGTTGTCTGATATTTTAAAATCTTCAATATTATGCCTGTTTTTTTTTTCTTACTGTCCATTGAATGATTATTTAACAAAGTTTATCATGGTGATCCACTCCACATTTTATTCTTGGTTGGGATAAAATATTGAATTAATTTAGTATTAAATATTAGATTTTGAAGATTTATCTGTAAAATATATTAAATAGGAAAAGTTTTATTATCTATATTTTTGTATTCATTTAACTAACTGATGATTTCCCTTTCATCCAGTTATTTCCCCTTTCATGTGCTCATTGTATTTTCAGCTGTTGATTGTTGATTTGCTTTTTAGATTTTGTGGTAACATCTGGTGGCTAATTATTAAATCAAATTGTGCAAATACAAAAAAATAGGTAGTGCCGAAAGCCTTTAACTGACACTCTCTTAACTCTCTCTCCCCCCCCCCCTCGGATCGTCCATAAAATACTATGCCTACATCTGGTGGCTAATTATTAAATCAAATTGTGCAAATACAAAAAAATAGGTAGTGCCGAAAGCCTTTAACTGACCCTCTCTTAACTCTCTCTCCCCCCCCCCCCCTGGGATAGTACATAAAATACTATGCCTTCATTAGTTGAAATGATTATCTGTGGTCTGAAACACATGGTGTGATTCAGTTACTGAGCTAGTTTGTTACAAGCCTTAGTGATAACTGTTAGGATGTGTATGACAAGATACTTTTGTGTATGAGAGGTTGATGACTGGCTACTAGACAGATCTAGGATATTCCAATTTAGGAACCCTTCACTCCTCAAAGTAAGAATGTATTTCCTCTGTTTAGTATATTTAAAAATCAAGAGGGAGGATTATATTATTCCTTACAAATTAAAGGATTTATTCTTTAACTTAGAAGCAATAATTTTAACTGCTGTGACTGTAATTTATCTTAGCCACAGCATAAATGTACCCAAATTGGGATGAAGTTTGGAAATAATTTTTTTTTTTCATTCATATTAATAATGATACTGGTAGACTTGAAATGCCCTTTTTTTAAAAAAGCACAGCAAATCTTGGATGTAAGGGAGAACCAGTGATAACATTGCTTTGAATACTAATATCCAAATGGATCAGTTCCAATAGCATGGTTATATTCATTAATTGATGCATTACTGAAGTAAATCGGAGGGTCTAGAGTTACATTGACATTTCTCTTGTATAAATGAATTTTTCAAGTTTTACTTAACTAAACAAAATAAATGTTTTGTTTAGCTGACTGTAGGAAATAACATTACAGCAACAAACTGAATTAAAGCATTTAGAGCCAATTTACATTGTTATCAGTTTTCTAAATATAGATGGACTCTGGACATGGACCTCTGTTGGCCTCGATAGATGGGTCAAAAGTGTAATTTCGACTCCGTGATTATTGATATTCATGCTCCATGCTGTGGCTCACTGGCGAAGAGAGGAACCTGATATGACAATGTGGTGTATTGATTGGGAGCCTCTATCACAGTCCCTGGGGGAAAATTTCACAGGCTGTTGGCTAAGAGCTGTTGAGTGGTTGTGCATAGTGAAGTGCCTGATGCTAGGTGTGCTAGAAATGTTGTTAACATTTTCTCATTAAACATGTGTTACAAAGTTTTAAGTTTAAACAATCCACGTACAATGCTATTGTGGTGATATTACCTTTTTTTTAAATTTCATGTGATAGTGTTAAATACACGTTATAGATTAGTTAGTAATATTTTTGAAGCATACATTTTTCTTGTCAGTGAATGTGGACTGATTTTAAATGTTCTAATTAAAGTTAAGTCTGTATTGGATCAGGACTATCGGTCACAGTTTCGCTTTAGCTTGTTTGTGATTCTTATTTCAGATAGTGTATTTCTTGCAAATAAACGCTATGGAGTACTTAGATGATGTCATGACTGCTCATTTTTATAGCCAGTTTAGAATGTTGAGCCCTCTTCTTTTTATTTTCCTCTTTCACAGCAGTATGCTCCATAAATTCTTATTCATTAACATTTTAAAAAAAAAAATTATTGGTAAGTATATAATTTTATTGTTGGGTGAAGAATATTCCCAGCCAAAAACTTACAATATTTGTCGTGTTAAAAAAAGACAAAACATTCACCCAACTTAGCTACACTTTGTACCTCTTAAATTATGGGCCTTCAACCCTGTAAGATTATTCCCCCTGAAAATACATCTGTTATCTGTGTGTACTATGACATTATCGCAGAATTTTGATAAAAGGTTGTTGACCTATTATCTATGCTATGTATCCAGTGGCTTCAAAAAATTACTTTTTTGTGTGTTTTTTTTTGGTTAAAGCATTTCTATCTTTTGCATTTGCTTTGAACAGTCGGCTGTTGTGTCCCCTGATACTCCCTTTTGACAGATTAAAATGTAACTGGCCGATTCACCCCTTCCGTAATCTGAGAAATCATATGTCTATATGTGCACAATGTACAAAAATAGTGTGAAAGCAATTTCATATTATATTGAAAACGTACTTTTAGTCCAAAAGTTGGGATATTTAGTGTCTATACTGTAAAAATATTTTTGTACAAAAGGTTTTTGGTTACACTATTCTAACATTATAGAGAGACAAATATGTGGAGAAAGCTGCTTCAGCCTCCAAACAACTACTCTGCAATTCACAAATTTATTACTAAGGCCTTGGGAGCCTTAAAATTAAACGCTTTCATTATACATAGGCTGTAAGTTGACACAGAGTGAGAAGCATAAGTATGCTGAGCATTTAGTTACTGTAACAAAGACTATGCGAGCGGATGAATTATTTAAGAATTTCAAAAAGCTTAAATGAGCCTCAGCAAATTATGGATGAAGTCATTAGAAACCAGGCATAATGCCACAGCTGTGGATCAGTTTTGCTGGTTCTTTTGTTGTCGGTCCATAACAGATGCTAAACGTTAGTGTCAGGTCCATCCCTTCACTGAAGCAAATATCTCATGAGATGTTAATGGAGATTTTGAGCCGAGGTATATGTTAAACTTGGGAATACTAGCCACCTCAGTGTCATGAATCAATAGTCTTCTCTGTCATCGCTTCACATGACTTCTGGATGGATCTTTAGGCGTGGTGTGAATTCTGGTAGACATAGGTTCGATTAATTTTTAAACACGGATAAAGAAATATGCTCGACCACTCCTGCCATCTCTTTCTGACAGGCTAAAAAAATATTTGATGCAATAATTTATCAACCTTTTTTTTTATTTTTGCATAGATGTACACTTTGAAATGCACCCAAAAAAAAAATTTGCAGATAAATAATTGCAGATAATCGAAGTACACCTGGCTACTGTCACTTTATTGTGACCCCTGTATTTATTTTATTGAGTCTGAAAAACTAGACAAAACCAGACGTGATTGATGCAGAGCGGGTTGTTCAGCAACCAACTTACTCAAGCTCTTGCATCTGGCACCATTATATCAAAATAAGAAATCGGAACATAAGATTCACGCACGTGCACACACACACAAATGTTAATTTGCAAGGGACCTTCATTAATTTTCAATTAAATGACCATGTGAAATTTTTTATTTCTCTAAAGGATAAGCTACAAGATAAGCTCTCCATCAAGTTAAGCCGTCGCTGCTGCAGTTCCCCTCATGTCGCCTGTGCTCGCTGCTCTGTTCGCCATACTGCTCTACCTGGTTGTTAGGCTGCTCCACCTCACTGCTCCCGTCTCTGCCCCTTTGATTTATGCCAAAGATAGATCTTCGCAGTTTGTCCAGTCTGTCCTGACACTGTGCCCAATACTACACCAGCCGTAAGTGTGGCAAGAGGCTATTAATACATGTGTATTATGATTTGTGTTGTGGCAGTTGAGCTTACTTAAAAATAATCTGGGCTTTTCCAGTTTTACCTTACTGTCTGAATTAAGATCTATTTCTACATTACAGATGTACCATACTGTCAGGTTTGATTTAAGTTAGTTTAAATTTCAAAGAATCAAAAGAGAGTTATGTCTTCTATCAAATGGTACAATAAATTAAAATCATGAACTACAGATTTTTTTAAAAGTTTTTAAAAAATTAATAATTAATGCTTATTCACTAGTAATGCTACATTAGCATTGTACTGATATGGTATTTCACAAAAAAAAAAATTGTATTACCATACTATTGTTTTGTCTCAATAATGTTCATATATCTTCAGTTACGTGCCGCCATTTCTATGGGGCAAAAGTGGACACATACAGACCATCCTTTATGCCAAAATGGGACGCGTCAACATGCCAGTGCCCAATGGAGTCCGCCATTCCAAGATAATGAGTGATGGTGCCACGCTGACCTTCGACCTCCACGAGCCTTTGGTCCCACACAAAACTGGGGGTGAGCCGTAGAGACGTTGTGTTATTTGTTCAAAGCCTGTATCGAAATCAAGTTTGTCCAACTGTCTACTCTCTGTTCAGTTTTTGAGTCTCACCCACTTTCTCTGTAAGTTAGAATCATCCATGAGTCTCAATACATGGATCTGATCGGGGCGTTTTTGATAAAGGTGTATTGCGGATGGGGAGCCATTTTAACATAAATTAATTACGGCAACAATTTTTAAGAAATCTTTTTAACCCCCCCACGTCAACAACTGTTTAACTTTTAATGAAACCCCCCCCCCCACCCAACCAATATTTATGTCAATATTTTTATACCAACCCAAACAAATTTTTTTCTACATTGTGCTGATCAATTTTACTAACACAAAATTGTAAGAAAAACATTTTATTGCATCTTTAACTTGTTAATCAAGTTAAAAAGTTTTTACTCTTAAATTTTTTTATGCAGAATCAATGAAAAGGTTGTTTAAATATCATTGTTTGTGGAAGTATAAATATGATTATTGTCAGTATAGCTGTCAATTGTAGCATAGCTTCTAGCTGCTATCATCTTCCCAGGGAATAGCTAGGTGTTGCTCTATCATAACAATGGGCATAGTAGCTGATTTATCATTTTCATCTTGCTGCACTGATATACCTGACAGGTCAACATCATCCTCATCTAACCTTTCAGCACTTAAAATAGAAGCATTGTCAGTGTGAGCAATAATTGCCATAAGCTCTCCCTCTGTCTCCTGGCAGCTACTTTCATTAGTCAAATCCTTTTTTTTTGTAGAGGAGCAGGTGGTAATTACTTATGCATTATTTGTGCTGTTGAACTTTCTTCTTCAACGTGACTTGTGATGCAAAATAGATGTTACATATTTTGCAAATTTTTTCAAGCAACAATTTTATTATTGTTACTCACTTTACTTTCCCCTAATTCTCAAAATGTCGTATTCCTACTCTACCAATATCATTTATCTTGACTGCACATGATACTTGAACCTCGTCCTTGTTCCAAAACAACAACACAATCACAAATATACCCCCCTAGTGATTTGTGACAAACAGAATCTACAGGCGAACAGAGGCCAGCTTTTGATTTGTCTTGCACTAACAAAATGTGCTTACATTCTGCAGTGCACAGACAGACACACATTAAATAAATCTTATATTGTTAAAAGCCCTAAAAATTATAGAACTATTTTAATTCACACTCATTAAATTTGTTAAAATAATGTAATAACCTGTCAATTTCTAAGAGTAAAATTTTAATAGAGAAAACATGATTGTTGATGTCAACTATTCTAAAAACCTCACCCACTAACACCCCACCCCAACACCCCCACCCCCATAATGTGTTGACATAATTAATGGACGACCCCTTAACACAATACTATTATAAATGCAAATATAAAATGTAAAAAGATGCCAGCTTGTCAAGAAAATAATTGATATATTGGCGTTGTATAGGTGATGTATAGGTGATGTATAGGTGATGTATAGGCGACAGATGCCTATTTAAAATATGGATTACTAGCTACTTTATTTTCTTAATCTTGTAATCATTAGCAACCATCTTGTGTAACTAGATCCATCCAAATCGAAGGGCACTTTTGTGGCACAGTATTACAGCACTTAAAAAAACATGAAGGGAAGCAAGTGAATTTTTGAAACTGATAAACATCTTGTGATTCATTTCAGAGGTGTATGAACAATGTATTTATGGAACAGTTTTTTTTGGTTAAAACTGTAGATGATTTGATCTGGGTATCAAGACCAATAAATTGATGAAGCAGAAGTGATGTGGGGATGAAGATGTTAATAGAAATGAGTGTGTCTCTGCTTGATGAAAGCTTATCCAAATTTTATTTGATCAATTAATTTTTTTGGATAAAACTTCTTGTAGAGCAGGGGTCTCAAACTCACAGCACATGGGCCATTTGCGGCCCACTACATGACAGCAAAGTTTAGTGTTAATGCGGCCCGCGAGTTTTCCCCATTCTCATATCTATAATGTGACCCTCTGCGACTGTTTCAGTCAAATCTCACAAACCAGTCTAATTATGATTTTTATTATGTTTAACATTTTGTTTGTAAAGATTTGGCCGTTGATTATAATGGTAAAAACTATTTTAAAATCAAACTAAATGTTTTTATTTTATAGCATTTTATGAAACAAACATGGCCAAAGTGCGGATTTCAGAAAAGTTTTAAAAAGTCGGTGGGTAATGCACAACCATAATTGTGTAAATTTTAGCAATCGGTATCAAAGAATTCCTATTAAAATTGCTGCTAGTGTTTACGAGTGAGGGAAATAGGTCACTTTCAAAATAGGGTTAGTCAAAAAGGCCTTTTCTACGATAAAAAAAATAAAATTCATTCTCCCTACAATAGCTTCTTCACAACAATAATTCATAAATATGGCCTGCTCCTGCCTACTGTTTAAAAACATTTTAGCATTTAAAGCCTTCATGGAGAAGGATGGGGTAGTTGTTCCTGTACTAAGTGATCCCAAAAGGCTCATGGACTTGGTTTTTCTTATTGACATTACACAGGAGCTGAATGTACTCAACAAGAAGTTACAAGACAAGGGTTTGTTTTTAGTGTTCCCTATGACAATGTCAGGGCATTCTGCACAAAACTTGTGGTTCTTATATAAACCTCTGCCATTTCCCAAAGTGCAAAGTACTCTTGCAATTTTGGGGACACCATTCAGTAGTAAGTATACTGATGCCATTGCAAAGCTACAGGAAGAATTCAATCACATTTTTTAGACTTAAAAACACATGCAGCCACTTTTCAGCTTTTTGCTGACCCTTTCTCTTTTAATGAGGTAGATGTCCCCACCCCTTTTTTAGCGCTTCAAATGGAGCTGATTGATCTTCAGTGCAATTCTAAGTTCAGGGAGGTGAATGTAAAAAACAGACAAGCCTGGACAATTTATGAGAGCATTGCCCTCCACCTTCACTGAGATTTCCACGTTGATGAAGCGCATCATGTGACTTTTTGATAGTACCTATACTATCTGTGTGAAAAGCTTTTTTCCACTATGATCTTAACAAGTCAAAACTCAGGGCCAAACTTACCGTTGAGCTTCTTCAAGCTATTCTGAGGGTCTCAGCTGCTTCTTCATTCAAGCCAAAGGTCCTCAGCTGTGTAAGAAGAAGCGCTGCCAGGTCTCTGGCAACAATGACTAGGAGGAAGAAAGTGAAGCCTAGTTCTTAAGAACCCTTATTTTTTTTATTTGTTATTAATAAAGGTTGAGCAGATTGTAACAGTTATACTTAAATGAATTTTTAATCACTTTTTGTGGGGAAACTTGATGCGGCCCAGTCTCAATCAGACTGTACTTCCCGTGGCCCACGGATAATTAGAGTTTGAGATCCCTGTTGTAGAGGCTGCATTTTCTTAAAGTAAAAAAAATAATTTTTTTACAAATAATTTTTTTTTTTAAATTAGCAATTTTTTTTTAGTGAATGCATTAAAATCTCCCACTGTAATGCAATTAATATTCTCTTTATTATATATATATTAATCTCTATATTAATCTTACTTTATATAAATTAATGACCTGATTACAATTCTTCACTCCTTACTTTGTGCTTGAGGGAGAGAATTTAATCACTTTGACTTGACTGTAATGAGCTGTGTAGATGGATTGATGGCACAGATACTTTCATTGCTTGCATTAGTCCACTACAAATTAAAAATACTGTGATAACGAATGCCCCATTTAACTGACAAATCGTTTAACAAACAAAATTTTAGTCTCAGTAAATGAAAGATAATTTGGGTCGCAAACTTACGCCTTGCTGTGTTTGCAGTAAACAGCGTTTGTCCCATTGCTGTGTTGAAAAAACTATTTTTTGTTACTTGTACACCCTTTATGTTATTATATCTCCCATTCTGGCTTCTTGTGCCCACCGTTTGTGTGACTTTCTTGTGGGCACTGTTAGTGTGATTTTCTTGTGCTGACTTTTAGTATGGCTTTCTTTTGTGGGCATCGTTTGTTGTGTGGGTTTCTTGTGGGCACTTTTCATGTGGCGTTTGTGTGACTTTCTTGTGTGCACTGTTAGTGTGGCTTTCTTGTGCCAACTTTTGTTTAGTATGACTTTCTTGTGGGCACTTTTCTTGTGACTTTATTGTGGGCACTGTTAGTGTGACTTTCTTTTAAAGAGATGGTAAAAAAGCTTGAATCAAAGTTACCCAATTTTTTTTTAAATTATGGAAGGGGATTCCCCTTTATAGCAGTTAGCTTTCTCCTCATCTTCCCCATCCACATGTGTCAACAACTATCAACGAACAATGTCAAGTACAGCACTGTATTATTTATTTTAGTCTTATATGTCTGAGGATATTTTAATTTCATTCAATAAAAAAAAAATTATTACAGAACAACACTTAAAAATGTAAAAATCCTTATGTCTGAGGCTGGAACAGATTCATTGAATTTATAATGATTGATTTCAGTGGGGGAAACTTATTTCGGTCAGCTAACGTTTCAGCTGAAAAATGGAGTCACGGAACGGATTAAGTTTGTTATCGCAGGTTCCACTGATGATTTGTGTGACACTTAAACAATACAATGGATATTATTTAATTTGCACATATTACACCAATGATTCTTACCGCCTTAGGTTCCTACTGCCTGCTGTTCTGTCCTGGCATTGGAAACAACAGTGAGTCACCTTACGTGAGGACCCTTGTCGACTATGCACAGAAGAATGGCTACATCGCCGTTGTGCTTAACCACATCGGCTCTCTAAAGACCATTCAGTTGACAGCCCCTCGGATATATTCATATGGTGAGTGCGGAGGGCACACTTTTTAATTTTGAAACTTCAGCTATGGTACTTGAGCCTTCTGTGCATTCTTATGGTCGTTATTATTGATCCTACACCTTTATTAATTTGGGTCACAGCTTTCACTTTACTGTGGGTGACTAAGTGTCCCCAGAGGTCCGATCTTGAAAGAACATTGGACTTCATTATGGTTAGGGTGGTATAGACAGCTTAATAAAATTACATGTGAGCAAAGGTTATCCTTACTGTTCATTATATGATATGCACTGGCTTGAGAGTCCACTTTCTTCAGCCACATTATTTACCACCATGATTTATGTATATAATATAATAATTATATATATATATTATGAATATATATGTAATGTATGTATATATATTAAGGCTTGCTATATTCTATACTCCATGATGATGACACTTATTCCTCCAATACAATCAGGACTCATTCAAATAAAACTCATTACAAAAAGCATCCAAGATGATGATTAGTCCTATTCATCTAATACACTCAGAATTCAATTCAAATAAAACTCATCATGGCAGCAGCTTGTATGTGGTCAAACTGCATGGATGGATCAATAATTTTTTAAAGGGTTGTCTCTTGTCAGCTCCATAAATAAATCTTTCAGTTTTAAGTGTCTGTATATTTCAACTGTAGATTAATATCTTTCGAAACTTGAATGGGTTGCGGTACAATTCTATCATGCTGTTATTCCAACAGGTGGAACAGAGGAACTGCATATTGTGAGGAAGGAAGTGCAACAACTCCACCCCAAGTGTGGCATCATTCTTGTGGGCTGCAGCATGGGGGCGAACATTGTGATCAAGTACCTGGGAGAGAACCAGGCTCATCAGACTGGGATACTTGCCGCCGTGTCCATCAACCAAGGTTATGATGTCATGAGGTAAGCATCCATTCACTTCTCCCTGTTTTTAGTGCTGCTCCTCCAAATTTTTCTGCAGCTCTTTAGGAACTGGATATAGAAACTATACTGACTTTTCAGCAGATGATTACTCTACACTAAAGAATTTGTTGCGATTTCTGATCATGCAAGTCATGCGATAGTCATGTTTATCAATTTAAAAGACACATATTTTTTGTATTAAAAATAATTCAAAAAGAATAATGTCTGTGGTGTGCGCTGAAGCTGTCATGGCTCTCCAGGGGTTCCTTATTTACGGGCCTTCCTCCGCCCCAACCGAGATGTTTCTTCCTAGTGGCCAATCATCTGGCTACCCTAAGAGGCCAAAGGGGTGGCTTCCTTTACTTTAGACCTTGCATAATAAGGGGTCTGTTTCCTAATTCAGATCACTATGACCCCTTTCCCCCTCCCCCCACCCCGGGGAAATCATGACCCTATGATTATGGCAGATGCAAATAGGGAATCTTCTCTGGCACATTCTTTCAAAGGTTTCCTCCGAGCTGTAGACCACAAAGATCCTTATAGTGTTTATTTTTACAGCAGCACTGGGAACTCCTCGCCCCCATGTTAAACACCACGTCACAAGAACTGGCAAGTGGCTGGGACTAAACGGCTGCCTAGGAGACTCGCCTTCAGGGGTTGCATTTTTCAAAATCGACTTTTGCAATAATTTATGCAATATTTAGAGAGTCTTAATTCTTTAAGGGAGAAGGTACACTATCACAAATGTGTTGCAAAAAAAAAAAAAAAAAAAAAAAAAAAAAAAAATTTTATTTTAAAAAAACAAAAAAAAAGAAAAAAAAAAAAAGTATAAAAAAAAAAAAAAAAAAAAAAAAAAAAAAAAAAAATATTGCTATTTCAAAGACCTGAAATAGTGGAGAATTTATAACAACTAGAAGTAAAATCTCTTCTTTCTATTCCATTATTTCACTAACGTATGCATGAAATAATTGATGTGAAATAATTGAGATTCATTAGGTTATAATGCATTGAGTGTGTTGCTACAAATAGCTATTCATTTCTTTTGAAAATTAGTGTTCAAAACATGAACTGGATAGAGCTATTTATAAAAATTGACAAACTAATTAATTTTTGACAAATTTCGACCCATGTAAGTACACAATAATTAATTTTTGACAAATTTTGACGCATGTAAGTACACAATAATTAATTTTTGTAAAGAGCTGACTAAAAATTAAAATGAAATAATGAATGTATAATTCATATTCACAAGAATTCTAGAAAGGCCACTAAATTTTTTCCCTGTTACAGTTCGTCCCCTAATTATTTCTTCTTGCATATATACATACTTCACACCACTGTAATATTTAAAAAGGGTGTATTTTGCTTCTTCATTCGTTGTGAGAAGATCGGAAGGATCACTTTCTATGCAACTGTGAAATATATTTTTTTTTTATATGAATGTACTTTTCTTCTCAGAGCCAAACCTCTTCTACTGTCGTGGCGCAATCTCCGTCGGGCCTACATATACGTGATGACCCGAAACCAAAAGAACATCATCAAGTGTCACAAAGATGTACTACTCTGTGACAAAGTCAGGTGCGACTATGACATCGATGTCGACAAGATATTTGCCTCCCGCACTATGGAACAGCTAGATGAGGCCTACACCAGGTGGGTGGACAACCCTGTATTGGGTGTAGGGACAGCCCTATGAACCCATTTCTCACCCACCTTGTAGCTGGCTCTCCTTAGGCTGGCCATGGGGCTTTCCCAGTATCTGCCTGCCATCACAAGAACAGTGATACACAACCACACTCCACCTTTTTCCTCTTGTTATCTATTTAAATGCTTCTAGATGAAATGTCTTACCTCTGACTGATATTTTTAGGCACTGGTAACCAAATGATAATTTTATTCATCAACCTCTATGGGGACTGACCAACACTGTTTGCATAAAACTATCTCTAGGATAGGTCCAGCAGTCGTAAGCTGAACAAATATGAAGTTAGATTAAGTTGTAGAGTTTGATTCTGCTCTCGCTGATTGTGTTTTATATTTATTTGGATGTTCCAGAAGACTTCATGGGTTTGAAACCCTAGATGATTACTACCATCATAACAGCAGTGGTCACTACCTCCAGAATGTAAGTTTAGCTTTTTTAGGCTGGTCACTACCTCCAGAATGTAAGTTTAGCTTTTTTAGGCTGGTCACTACCTCCAGAATGTAAGTTTAGCTTTTTTAGGCAGGTCACGACCTCCAGAATGTAAGTATAGCTTTTTTTTTTTGACTGGTCACGACCTCCAGAATGTAAGTTTAGCTTTTCTTTTGACTGGTCACTATCTCCAGAATGTAAGTTTAGCTGTTTTGGCTGGTCACTACCCCGAATTGTAATTTTAGCTGTTTTGGCAGATGCTGTATAACTCTATATTTAATGTCCCAATAAAATCTGTCACTACTTTTGAAATGCAATATGATCTCTATAATGTATGCCATTGGTCAATAGTGATATCCTTAACTACTAGGAATTGATGCCGCTGATTTTGCCCATTAAGTGGATTGGAGATTTGATCTTGACAAAACTCTGATTGGATTACAGTCACAATGTATTTTATTTATAATACGTGATCTATAATTTACAGCTTCTTTTGAGATCTCAACCCTTTAGTACCTTCTTGTGTGTAGTTGTGTGCATATATTTCCATTAAACTTTGCAATGGTAAAAAAAAATGATGCGATTGTTCTAATTTCCAGCTAAGTTTTAGGAACGGTTAATGTCTGTCTGTTTGATTAGGCCTTCATTACAGCTTACTGAGGTTGGCACATTTTTAAAAAAAATGTGTGCAGACTAATCCAGCTTGTATCATCCATTGTGTACACTCCAGATCAAAACACCCTTGCTGGTGGTCAATGCAGAAGATGACCCGATTGTCCCGCCTCAGTTGCTTGATTGTCCCAAGACGGCAGCTGGTAAGTTGATTTAAACTGTTCAAACAGCCAGTTTAAGAAAAAAAAATACTGCCGGCACTTGATCTGAAGTGGGAATCTGGATTACAGGTCAGGATGTGGTTTTTTTGGGATGCACATCATGAAAGAGGCTTAGAATAATGTCGTAATTATTTTCTAGAAATTTCAAACAACGTTCAGCCAGAAAGAAACACATGAACAAAAGCGAAGTTACTATGAAGGATTTAAAAAAAGAAAAGAATAAATCCAGTTTTACTCTAGGATTTTATCAACAGTACAACGAGAAACTTTTAGCAAAATAAATGTTATAGAGATTCTGAAGTCTAGCCTAAAAACTTGAAGAGGGGGATTTATTCTTTTTTTAAAAAAAGGGCGTGGTATTTGTCATGTGTCATCGAAAGAGCAAGGCGTATGTCATGTGTCACTGACGGGGAGGATGATGTTTGTCGTGTGTGACTGAAAGAGAGAATGGTTTAAGTCATGTGTCACTGACTTAAGAACAACATTTTCAGCCTTCTCTTGTCTTGGTCTGTCACAGAAAAACTCCCCTACATGATTTTTGCCCTAACCAAGCATGGTGGACACTTGGGCTTCTTTGAGAAAGGGATCCTGCGCCCCCACAGTTTGACATGGATGGACAGGTTAGTGGGCCGTCACCGGCACTGCTTGTGTTTCCTGAACTGTGTTGATTATAGTCAAGTCTTCAACACTAAACATTTAAAATTTTGATCACCACTAGGGCTTTATGTGGACATTTGAGGAAATGTGAAACATTTAGGTTCACTTAGTTAATGATTAATTTTTTTTTAATGTGAGGGTTCACTTATATATGATTATTTTTTTTAAAGATGTAGGACCACATCATTAATGATTATTTTTTTTAAAATATGTATGTTCACGTTGTTAATGATTCATTTTTTAAAAAATATTTAAGTTCACATAGTTAATTCTTTTCAATATGTAGGTTCACGTAATTAAAAATATGTAGGTTAATGATTAATTTTTTTAAAATATGTAGGTTAAATTTTCAAGAAAAGGATGTGGTCATTTATTTTGATCTTGTCGCCATAGTTTCTATATAAAAATTTGTCTGGACACGAGTCGTACATTATTGATAGACACATTTGTTTTGGCTCACAGTCTGGGAACCACCACTCTAAGGTGTCGCTCATTATGTGTGTAACATGATCAAGGACACAAACATTAATACAGCTAATATGTGCCACTTTTCCTCTTCCAGACTTATCATAGAGTATGCTGATGCCATCACAAAGATCCACCAAGAGGGCAATCTCCCAGTGATAACATCAGAAACTAGTTCATCGGAAGAACTGGATGATTTTCTCATGGTTGGTGATTTCAAGGTCAGTGACAAACGCTCCAATGACCTGATAAAGAACTCTGATGGCAACAGCTTGAACCCGAATAAAGCGACAGGAAGTGATGACTCTGATGATGTTGGCGACAGGGACGGAACTTCTCATCAGTGTAACGACAAAACCAATGGTTTTATATCAACCTCAAAATAAGTTGGAATTAATTTAACATTTCAAACAGAGTAGGTGCCTGAGAGGTAGGAGTTTAATGCGCGTGTGATTTTAATGTTTGGCCAGCCACCCGCCCACTTGTTTAAGTTCTTTCTGAATGAAGGAATGGTTGAAAAATATATTGGGTTGTTTTAATATTTTTTTTTAAAGTTTAATTTTTAACAAGCCTTGGCCTCTGAAGTGCTCTCTCTTCAGTCTCTTGGAGGATGAGTGAATTAAAAGACCAAACGAAACTTACCCTTTTCAAAGAACAATGAGGCAATTTAAAAGTAAATGTTTGATATCAAATGATTTTAAAAAAAAAAACAAAGAAAGATACCATTTTCAAAGAAAAATGTGGTTCCAGGGAGTTAAAAAACAACTGTTTTGACATCACAATCCTTCTTTTCTTATTAAGATGGGAGGATTAAGCTATACAATTTTTCTAACAATCTTATAGACTGGGTCCAATTTTTTTTTTTTTGTTTGTCTTTTTTTTTTTTTTTTAAAACAAGCATAACTGTTTTCTAGCACCACTTACAAACTGGAACATTGAATTGTCATGCCATTAATATTTCCTCACATAAAATGTCACAATTTTTTTAAATTTAATTTTTCAAAATTTATCTATGTTTATTTAAACCTGATTTTGAAATGTAACCCAGAAAAAAATATTTTTTGAGATGATTTTGCTCTCTGGTGTTCAAAAAAATATTCCCTTCATTTTGGTCAGTTTTTTTTTTTTTTTTAGTTTATATTAATATGATGTCATTTTAAATAGGAATGGAAACCATGCTGAAAATACAACTGTTCACATGATGCTGTCAATAGTATCAAGAAAATGCAAATGGCAAGCCTGTTGAGGGATTTGAAGTAACTATGAACTTAATATTTTATTGTGTCCAAGTAAAAAGAGACAAACAGAATTAAAAAGAGAGAAAAAGAAATGGGAGAGATTCTTAAGCGGGACTATAAACTATGAAATGATTTGGTCTTTTATTGATGTTTCTTCCTATGGTGACTGCATCCATGTGAAGGAGGGTGAAAACAAAAATTGTCATCAATTATTTATGTAATATGTGGCTACTACTCAGGTCATCCTCTGATTTATTGCACTCTTGCCAAGGTCATTCATGGGCTAAAAGTATCCACATGTCACTGCCTTTGCAACTTTCTCAGCATGAGTTGCCCCCTTTTTTTAATCTATTTTTAATGTTTACTTTAGTAGACCAACAAAAAAAAAGCTGTTAGTTCTGTTCTGCAGTTATTGAAGCTCTGCTCATGCTAACTATCTAGTCTTAGGAAATGGTTGTGATATTGTGTTAGGGTGTCAACTGTGATCAACGCTGGCCATCTTTATGTCCCGTGACTGCATCGTTCAAGGACCCAAGACAGTACTGGCTTGTGTCCACGGTCAGCTTAACTCGGGTTATCTGTCCATCAAAAGCAAGGGGACGACCCCCCCCCCCCAAGAAGGCCAGTGTCAGTGTTCAGACATTTAATGATATTTATTCTTGACCACGATGAAAGGGTTTTTGATGAGTCCTCCAAACAATTTTGTTCAGGTGCCACTTGGTCAGGTGCCACTTGGTCAGGTGCCACTTGGTCAGGTGCCACTTGGTCAGGATTCCTTCTACAGTTGGGATCTCTATCAGAGGCCCCTGGGGTTTCACTGTCAGATCCCCCTGGTGGATCTCTATCAGATTCCCCTGGAGAGTCCCTATCGATCCCTCTCAGACTTGGCGTGTAGGAACAAGTTGTTTGTGTGTGATGACACAGCTGTGTAGGTGAATGACAAATTTTATTTTTTATTGCATCCACTTGAAAGCAAAATTGGGCTATTTGGACAGGGAATCTGATAATTAGCTCACTTTTGCTTTTGAGAGGCCCAGCTTCTGCTATTTATATGACTTTGTTTTTATATATTGATATTTTTCTATAATTCATTATCAAACATTCAACAAATGGATAAATGGATGGTGTTCTTTTATCAATACACATCCTGGTATTGTTTTCATTTTGATTAGTTTTTATACATGTCTCCTGCTCTGCATTTAGTTTGTATAAAGAAGAAGAAAATACTTGTTCAAAAAAACTTTAAAAAAAAAACCTTGACATATTTTCACTTTCAACTATTTTTACTTCAACATCCAGACCAAAGCTGCCTTTTGCCATTGAAATGTTGAACTTTTCAACAAGCTCAGGAATTTTTTTTTTCTTCTCAGTGTTGTCATCTAGTAATTTGTTTGTGAAGTTAGCAATGTCAGTCGTGCCTCTCTCTCCCCCCCCCCCCCCCCCCCCCCCAACGACCCTTTTCGGTGTAACAGTAGCAAGACTACCAATAGGGTAGTTTAGATTGTAGCTAACAAGCACTGGGAAAATGTATGTCACATCTTTTCAGGGAGCATCTGGGGGTCGTAATAACATGAGATTATGACGGTATGGGGAAAGAAGCTTTTTGCCACCTATTATGGTGTGCACACTGTGCAAACGGGGTGTGCACACTGTGCAAACGGGATGTGCACACTGAGCAAACCTGATATGCTGTCATCCAAAGCTTTTAAGTGTGTCAAATTGAAGAGGAAGTGGCAGCTTTAGATGTGTCTTGTGCTAAATTGATACATTTGTGTCTAATTCTGATTTGCTAAAGTAATTTGGTTACCAGGCTGAACAAACTGGCCAGGTCATGGGTAGTTCTGCCTGAAGGGGAATAACTGTTCTCCCACAACCCTTAAAGCTAAGGCACATTTTAATCATTAATCTAAAGAATTACAGTAGGCAAGGTTTCAAGTCATCGTGCTACAGTGTTTGCATTGGATTTGATTGGTGTAAAATTAGAAATACCACAATTCAACAGTAATCAAAACAAAACAAAAATACTTCTGGGGTTATCAAAGATTGTTATTAAAGAGAAGTCCCAACAAGTCTATTCTGGGGTCGTATGAAGCCTTGCAACATGGGGAGGAAATCATTGTTTTTTTTCCTTGAGAGCCATAAGATTTTTTTTCCTATTTGAAATCTTTATCCCATGTTTTGTGCTAATATTTTTAATTTTAATTCAACTCTGTAAGACTCTCAGCTTCATGCATTAGAACTTTTAGCTGTCAGTCTGTGTCTTTTAGCTGTCAGTCTGTGTCTTTTAGCTGTCTGTCTGTGTCTTTTAGCTGTCAGTCTGTGTCATTTAATTAACCCCTGAAATCATTGCGCTTTTTGATGTTCCAAAAGATACGATGCTAGAACATATCACTGTAGTTTATTTATAGGGTTGGTAATATATTTAAGCAGTGTCATCTGAGGCTGGCTCAGAAGCGTCCTGAAAAAATTCTTTGTCAGAGAAGTTTTATAAACATCAGTTTTTTAAACTTTCACATTTTGTATTTTAGAGAATAAAAAACATGAGATGGTGTTGCTTGTAGCCGGTAACTCAAGAATTTTTTTCAAACACGCTGCTTTCAGGAAGTGACATTCTAACAGCATTATTATTGTGTTAATATATTGTTTTAAGCATTATTTTCTTTCATTGTAACCATCTCAGTGTGGGAGGGTTTGAGGGGGGGGGGGAGGGGTGGAGTATGGGGAAATCAGGGCATACATTTGATATACGGTAAAATATATAGCCTCGTACATAGCGGGGCGTCAGGGTGTACATTTGATATGCTGTACAATAAATTGCCTTGTACGGTGCTCTTGTTTTTTTTCAAAAAATGGATAAAGAAATGAAGTCTGACGTTGAGTTTTATTTTGTCTGAAGCAATGTGGATTTGTAAACTAACAACATTTGGGCAGTTATGTGCACAGATAACTGCCCAGATAGAGACAAGAAGAACACCCCCAAAATAAAATTATATGAATGTCTTCATAACTGTAGGCCTAGTTAATTTAAAATAGTCAATATCTCTACATCTCTATTTATGATTTAATTTGTCTAAAATATATGATTACAATTGTGCAATTCTGTTTTTTTTTTTTTTTAAATTTGCTCTTCATGCTATTTGCATGCAATTAAATTTTTACGGTAAAGTGATGAAATTTCACTTGATAAAATAATGAGTTAATAATTATTTTTTTTTGCTGGTAAAATTCTGCATTTTAATTTATTAACTTCCATTTTCTGCCTTTCATTGTTTTCTGCAAGGAGATATTACTTTTCTGTATGTCAATAGTGCCATAGTTTTCTGCAAGAAAGTCTCTCTTTTTTTGCCTTTCATAGTTTTCTACCCTTCATAGTTTTCTACCCTTCATAGTTTTCTACCTTTCATAGTTTTCTGCCTTTCATAGTTTTCTGCCTTTCATAGTTTTCTGCCTTTCATAGTTTTCTGCAAGGAAATGTCTGCAATTTGTTTAAATTTTGTTTATTTACAAAGCTCATGTTTTACCATATTTAATATTTATCTGACTCAAATGTATTGTTAAGTTTTTGCTATATCTCTTTGTGACCAAAATATTAGGATAGCTTCAATTTTAAGAAAAACATCCGTTAAGTTCATTTTAAATATTTTAATTCCATGAAATGAGTATCCATTCCAGGAGGATACTGAGAGCCAAGAGATTTTTTTTGTTTGGTAACCATCAAAGCCACATTTTAGAAACACATGCCATATTCTTCATAGTATGCTTTTCAAACATACATTTTCAGTTTCTTCAATTACACCTAACAGAAGTAAATAGTGCAATATTTAATTATACGCAGTAAGTCATGGTGATGGGGTACGGTCTGCTAATTTCTTCAACATAAAGTTATTTTATTGACTGCTTTGTTCTGACCTTGTTGCTTGTTATGTAGCTCTTGACTCCTGTTTGGCTCTCGTTGACTCCTGTGCGGCTCTTGTTGACTCCTTGCTCATTCACCCAATGTGATGACTTCCATTTCCAGTAAATGATAGCGCACACTCTATGACAGTTGTAACCCATGTTCTGTTGAGCCATGCCGATCCCAGCATTAGTGAGAGTTCTTTTTTTTTCTTAGCACATTTTGTAACGAGCAGCAGTGCTTAAGCAATAAATACCCAACAGTGTTATAAATGGGGTATCTGTGTTATAGACGTGATGTGAAACACGGTCAGTTGGTTAATTAGCATCAGGCTTGCATCAATGATTTCTTGGCTGAAATGTTTAATTTGATTTATTGTTCTAGTACATCATTGGCGGCGCGACACCTACCCCTGTGTGAACTTTTCCCTTGTGAAAAATCGTCTGCTTCGAGTAATGTATTAGAATCTAAAGAAGAGAATTGAAATGAGGCAGAAAAAAAAATAATTTTAAAAAACATTTGTTACAAGAATTTGAGACTTTTTGACTTGGAATGGGATTTACGATATGAAATAATGTGTTTTCAGAATGCAAAAACTTTTAAAAAAATTTATCACATGTCCCTCTAAATCTAAGTGTTTCCAAAATGGCTTAGTCAGAGGTTCCAGAACTGTGTTCCCTGCACAGCCTTACCATATTCGCTATTTTGCATTGCACTTTTCAGAATAAGGCATGGGGGCGCCTTGCAGGAAAAACTGGATGCAGCAAGGGTGCTGTGACTTGAAAAGTTTTGGAACCTTTGGGTCATGTATGGAATCGCTCCAGTGATTTCTGATATTAAATAATTCCTCCATGTGTACTCGGACGCCCAAACATGGATGTTACTTTATGAGAATGCCATATTTTTTGAGGAATTATAAACAAGGTGTCCTCTGTTTTAGGCCCTAAGTGTGCTGATTAAAATGCCCTTTCCATTGTGAAACTGGTACTTTTAAACAGGCCAACTTTGAAGAATAAAATTCTCAATCAACACTGCAAAATAGTAGGCACTGTTATTAATTTAACTCGTAGACTGTTGTTAATGAATCTTATCAGAAACTCTCAGAGATTCATGTATTGTTTAAATTACAAATACATCTGATTTCATGGTTGATTCTCAGTGTTTATACCCCCCCCCCCACACACACACACATATTTTCCCCCATTCTTCATCAATTGTGTAGTAATTCTAAAACTTAGTGAAAGTTAATCAAAATAGTAGGCACTGTTATTAATTTAACTCGTAGACTTTTGTTAATGAATCTTATCAGAAACTCTCAGAGATTCATGTATTGTTTAAATTACAAATACATCTGATTTCATGGTTGATTCTCAGTGTTTATACCCCCCCCCCCCACACACACACACATATTTTCCCCCATTCTTCATCAATTGTGTAGTAATTATAAAACTTAGTGAAAGTTAATCAGCCATTATTCAAGTAGCATAGCATGTCTTTGTTGCAAATGTCTTTAATCAAACATGTGACATACATATCTGCTTCTTATATACCAGTATATATATATATATATTTATCTATATACTGTCAAACAATTGTTATCAGTGGTGTAACTGGTATTTTTTTGATGGAGTTAGAGAAAGAAGGAAAAGGGAAAAAGGGGGGGGGGGAACATTAATGTGCACATCAATCAGGGCTTATTAAACTATTCTTTAAATCACCCTGGGCATCGGATGACCTGTTCATGGGCTCATGATCCAATGGGCGAGGTCATTTTCTTAGCTCAGGACGGACGGCAGTCACGCCAACCCGTCAATGATGTGTGACCTATGAAATGTTTTTGTGTGTTTTTTTGGCATAGTGTTCTTTTCAAACTTGTAACTTGTAATGATTTCATTTCTGTGGTGGCATGCTCCTCCAAGACTCTGAGACCTAACAGCCCCAGCCGGAGACCTAACAGCCCAGCCGTGAGATTATTATTGTTACCTTGGGTGACACTGCATGTTAGGATATGTCCGGCCTATGATTTTTTTATATTAGGATATGTCTGGCCGATCATTCTGTATGGTAGGATATGTCCTGCCTATGATTCTGTATGTTAGGATATGTCCGGCCTATGCTGACTCTGACCTGTCTCATGTTTACTCCTGACATATCTAAAGAGCCATATATTTAAATTATTTTGATTGCTGTGATGTAAGTTTTATTTGTTTTTAAATGCCGGCCAAATATGTCCAGCTCTCAGCACTTTGGAGACTATAATTTAATGACAAACATGTTTCATTTCACTACGGTACTTATCATCTTTTTACAAACAAAGAAACAAAAATTAATATTCAAAATAAGTTCCTTTAAACATTGTCTCGGGCTTCACTAATTGAAGTGAACAACAATGTTGTTGTGAAAATAATGATATTCACTAATTGAAGTGAACAACAATGTCGTTGTGAAAATAATGATATTCACTAATTGAAGTGAACAACAATGTCGTTGTGAAAATAATGATATTCACTAATTGAAGTGAACAACAATGTTGTTGTGAAAATAATGATATTCACTAATTGAAGTGAACAACAATGTCGTTGTGAAAATAATGATATTCACTAATTGAAGTGAACAACAATGTCGTTGTGAAAATAATGATATTCACTAATTGAAGTGAACAACAATGTCGTTGTGAAAATAATGATACTCCAGAGCAGAGAAGCTGGTTAAAAAATCCAAATACCGCGGCGTCCACTTGTAGGATGGGGAAACTCATGCCGCCGTCAAGTGCTTAGTACGTTCACACTGCGGAGCTGTTTCACGGTCTGCCACAGGAGCTCAGTGGTGGATCCTTCCCAATGGAGAATCAGTGTTGAGAATCCACTGATATTTGCTGATGTTTACAATCCCAAGCTGACAGGGGTGTCCCACGTCGTCGTTCACACTGAGCCGACGCGACTATGCAGAGGCTTTGCTTAGCTTTATATCATAATGTACTATCGTAACGGGTCAGCAGCCTGCAGCTGCATGTGGCTCTTTACATGAAGGAAATTGACTTTTTTTTTCTCTACTTATGATTTTAACCAATAACCTGCCATGCAGTGCAAGGGAACATTAAAACGTACAATAAAATATTTAAAAAAGATAACACATTTTAAAAAAAATTTAATCCATTTTTTTTTTTTTTTTTTGAAAACTTGAAAATTTTATCTCGTTTTTTATTTTTTTTTTTTTTTGGTCTTTCCCCAAATAAAATAAAACTTGTAATTTATTTTAAAATTTAACCAATAACATTGCATGGAGTGCAAAGGAAAATTAAAAAGTACAATAAAATTTTTAAAAAAGATAACACATTTTAAAAAAAATTTAATCCATTTTTTTTTTTTTTTGAACACTCTAAAATCTTATCTCGTCTCTTATCTCGTCTCTTATCTCGTCTTGCCCCAAATAAAATCAAACTTGTAATTTATTTCACAAATTTTTATCTTTGAAATGGTACAAAATATGGCTATTATCCAATACAACTTCGAGGTAATCAAAATTTGGAAACAAGTCATCGGATATTAATTTTTTTCTTTGGTGGCCGCTCTATTCTCTGCCGGTTGTTAACCTGTCACAGTACTAACCTGTCAGCTGATGACAGCGCACTGGCAGACATAATCTTGGAGTTTCAATTATTTATTGGTGGGGAATTCCAGCCGACATTTGACACTATACTGCAACACTCGGCAAACGCGTGATAATGAAAACCAGTTGGCCTCAGAAATCGTCTGACTCGTATTAATTGCAACAAGGGCCTAACCCCCGTGCCGGTTGAGAATCTCAGAAACAAATCCGCATTATGTGAACGAACCTTTAGTCTGCCCGTGGTTCCCCCCCCCCCCCCCCCCCCCGGGCTTCAGCTGCCCACTCTAGCCGTCCGGCCGTGAAGAGACCTCACTCGGTTCTTTACAAAGCTGACCACCTTTCATGTGTTCAGGTAGGGATGGACATGACGTCATAGACGAACATGACGTCAGATGTGAAAGGTCACGGTGTAGAGAGACCATGGTATGACGCGAATTGACCTGTACGTGGCATAGATCTGTACTTTAGGGTTCACACGTTGTTGACTGTAATGACAGCCGAAGCTAGACTTTAGTTTCCTCACTACTACCTATTGATCTGGGTATCATGGAACATTCTTTCTCTGTTTCTTCAATGAACGGTGCTTTCAATTGTTTGTTTTTTTTATTTTTAATATTTCTTTTTAACTTTAAACAACAACAAAAAATTGTATTTTATAAAAACAAAAATCATGCTTTCAAATATCATTATATCATCGCTAAATGTATCATGATTATAGTATAATCTTATGGCCAACTGTGCTCATTTATAGATACAGTGTTTTAAAGTTTGGCCGAGACTAGGAATTATTTCTAATGTTTAATCGTCCACATGATCAGCTGTACTCAGTATCACTGGTAGTCAGAGTAGCCCGGTTCCTGGTTACTGGAATTGTTTGATCAAAATCTCCATTATTTTATGATATATTATTGAATAAAACAAAGAAAAAGCTATGCCTGATTGGTATTTCGTGTCTCTCTTTCTGTATTTGTACATTTTATGGAGATGTATGAGCGCGCGTGCAGATTCTCTGGAGATGTTTGAGTGTGCGTGTCCATTCTATGGAGATGTTTGAGTGTGCGTGTCCATTCTATGGAGATGTTTGAGTGTGCGTGTCCATTCTATGGAGATGTTTGAGTGTGCGTGTCCATTCTATGGAGATGTTTGAGTGTGCGTGTCCATTCTATGGAGATGTTTGAGTGTGCGTGTCCATTCTATGGAGATGTTTGAGTGTGCGTGTCCATTCTATGGAGATGTGCCCTTTTGGAAAAAAAAAAAAAAGTTGGAGGGGGGATCGTTGTGCCCTGCCGTCGTTGAACTGATTATGCAATGTGAAGATTGTAGCTTACAATTAATGAAATTCAACTGTAAACATATAAAACCCAGGCCAAGTACGGTACGAATCACGCCGACGATTCTCATTCCAATCCTAGCGGGATCCTAGTTATGTATAATATAGTCTGAGCGTGTTGACAACTTGACGCCTAGTGAGAGTTAACACCCCCCCCCCCGAGGGTGGCGCCTCTGTTGGTCTATGTGATGTTTGCCGGGTGTTAGTAGGAGGTATCGGACATACTGGTTTCATTGCCCATACACCAGCCACATAGTAGGGCACTAGGTTTAGTTAAACGTAAAGACAAAACAATAAACGCATAATCTAAATGTAAAAACCACTTGGAAGTTGTAATAATTCAATTTAGACCAAAAAATATATTGAAACATAAGCATATAACATAAGCATATAATAAAGCTTTTACTATGGGGACGCCAAAGGTTGTCGTTTTTAACATTAATTTATGCATAGGTGGCAGCGAGTGGTTCTCAACCTGTGGTTCGCGACCTCTTTGGAAGTCAAACGACCCTTACACAGGGGTCACATGAGACCATCGGAAAACAAATATTTATGAAGTAAAAAGGAAAAAAAAAATGTTATGGTTGGGGGTCGCCACAACATGAACTGTATTAAAGGGTGGCGGCATCAGGAATTTTGAGAACCACTGCTTTAGACTCTTACATAACTGTCAGTTCTTTGAAGTTTTAAAGTAAGTAGGTCCAGTGGTGTAGCTAGGGTTAGTGTATCCCGGGGCGGGCAATTACTTTTCCAGCCTCCTTACACGAAAACAAAATCCCTGTGCTTGGGTGAAAATGCCACCCCTGTAGATAAAGAAACAAAAGTGACGCCCCTTTCCACCCCTTCCTACACCCCTGAGTAGGCCTATTTGTATATATTTTGGTAAAAGAATGATAATTCTCCATTCGGCAACACCTATGAATTAAATCCTGGTCGTATTTCAGTCCCACTGTACTTGACACTATAGGGCTGCTCTATTCAACATCATAGGCTGTTTCAGGTGCTGCTCCCTTCTCTGTCAGGTCAGCGAGTAATTTAAAGGGGTCTTGATTCTGTGGATGAGAGGGGTCGGACGGAGTGATAAATAAGCACGCAGAACCCTACCCCCCCCCCCCACAAGTAACCCAGCCCCACCCCAATAATCAGAAAATGTCGTATACATTGTAATTTTAAAATTCCCAAAATTTATTCCCCCCCCCCCCCCCAAATGACCAATTAAACAACTGCTTGGAGAAAAACTTTTCTTATAAATCATTTATACGCACTTTTGGTTGCGTTTATGTATTTGTACGTGATTTATCATTTAATAGATTGCAGCGGCTGATTTATAATTCCGGAAGGGCTTTTTATCAAACTTAGAGCATGTAAAACATAAATAGACCAAAGATATATTTAAACCCAAATACATCACAAATACAAAGCACATAGAAACAGCAACACAGTTAATCTCCACACCAAAACACGCAACCATAGAAAAAATCATTATCACCCCCCCCCCCCACCCCAAAGTCCCAACGATAAGTTTTTTCTGATTTTCAAGGGGTCTGAAAATAAAACCCAAATACATCACAAATACAAAGCACATAGAAACAGCAACACAGTTAATCTCCACACCAAAACACGCAACCATAGAAAAAATCATTATCACCCCCCCCCCCACCCCAAAGTCCCAACGATAAGTTTTTTCTGATTTTCAAGGGGTCTGAAAATTCGATTGAATATGTTGTCATGGACAGCAAGTTTATGTATCAAGTTTTAGCTTGATAGGATGACGGGAAGTGGGTCCATTAGCTTCCCCTTGAAAAAAGGAAAAACTTTTTTTTTTGGGGAAGGGGCTGAAATTTTGAAAGAATGCGCGGGCATTGCCGACGAATCTATGTTCCAAGTTTCAGCTCGATAGGATTACGTGACGTAGGTCGAGCACGCTTTCGAAGATTTCGCCGTTACAAAGAAATACGCAAAATAGAAATTAATAATTATTATTAACGATTTTTTAAAAGGAAATTCTCATATCGGTTGGTGTTGCTTTTAAATAAAAATAATACCTTTCCAGGAAGTAAGAATACGGGATAAACTTACTCGCTTAGTTTGAACTTCTCCATCAAAATCCTCAACCACAAAGTTGTCCTTAAAGACGGTAGAGGTCAAAATTGTGGCCAGGTACTCGTCCACAACCGTGGGCTCATCTTTCTGGTAGGAAAAGAGTGGGGTGGGGGAGTCTTCAAGATCAATATAGAGGGCAGCCATTATTGACAGGATACATACTGAGCTTTAAACACATGGACGCAGCCATTATTGACAGGATACATACTGAGCTTTAAACACATGGACGCAGCCATTATTGACAGGATACATACTGAGCTTTAAACACATGGACGTAGCCATTATTGACAGGATACATACTGAGCTTTAAACACATGGACGCAGCCATTATTGACAGGATACATACTGAGCTTTAAACACATGGACGCAGCCATTATTGACAGGATACATACTGAGCTTTAAACACATGGACGTAGCCATTATTGACAGGATACATACTGAGCTTTAAACACATGGACGCAGCCATTATTGGCAGGATACATACTGAGCTGCAGCCATTATAATGGGTTATGTCTCTACCCTTTGACGAAGTGGCAACAAATGGCGTTAAGAACAGTAAAACCTTTACCCTTAGCTTTAATATGACCATGCAGGAACTTTTCTTATCACCCCCAGTGCTTCCATTTTAAGAGTTTAGCCTCAACGTTGTAAACACCTGTATATCTAACCTTTGGTTAAGTACGTAAATTTAATACTTTTTTTTTTGAGCTGGCATAATGATATCACTTTCCTTTCTAGAAAGACGTTTAAAATTAGTATTATTATTTTTCAAAAGAAAAACCAAAAACAATTACTACCAGACCAGAGAAAGAAAACAAAATTATACATTTAGGCTTCGAATATGTTCGTAGCTTCTCGCAACGGACCTGTCGACAATGAAACCCACCTTGAAAGTGAGGTCCACGTCCCACTTGAACACCTCCTCGTTATCCTCAATGTCGCCCTTGTATGTGACTGTCGCCGCCCCTCTCTTGGCGTCCACCGGAAGTTTGAACATCCTGCTTGCCGCGCAGGCGAACTCGTTGTCTGTTCGATACAAAGTAAACGTGACAGTGGTGTTACAGCCTTGAAATGTCGGGATGAAAATTTTGACAAGACATGCATGCAAGTAACGCACTTTATAAGAACACCAATTAGTGTCCCCCCGTCCCCCCCCCCCCAATTTCGCAACCGCACATTTTTTTTGTTCAACTCCCAGAACTACATTAATATTATAAGGACCCATCCGCTTTTACACTGAAGATTTGATTCACCAAATATTTCAGAAAAAAAAATAATAAATTAAAAAAAAAAATGAAAATAATACGGTTGTGGTTTTTTTTTAATTTTTTTTTTTTAAAGAATGTCAATTAGCAAAATGGGGAATTTAATTTTATCTTCCCCTTGGAAAAAAAAAAAAAAGAAAAAACTTATTTTTGGAGGTTGGAGCTGTCAAAGGCAAACCATAAAACGTTGTAAATTGCCCCAAATGGTTTAAATAAAATAATCTTGGGGGGTGATAATGGTTCATTTGTCATACCTAAACGTTTTAAAATGAGTGTTCCTTGTTAGCAAATACATTTTGGCTCTGGCAACGCTCCTAGTTTATTCACAACAACAGTGTTACAGTGTATGTCTATCTCTTATATATGTATGACGAGCCTTGCGTGACTCGTGGACTGCTTCCTAACAAGCTGGCTGCTTCCTAATTGACTGATTCCATTGCCGGGACCTTCTTATCAGCAACTTTGTTATTGAGAGTATATTACAAATAATTCAAGATGTTTGAAAGAAAGTCTGGTTTAATAATGAGTTATATAGCACGCAAAATATAATTCCCGATAACTACGTTAAATGATGTGGGTTTTTTTATGTAACGCAAATGAGTCTGGTGTGTAATATTTTCTTTTCGGAAAATGAAATCGTCTCAAAGTATGGTGTAAAAAATATTCGGTTTAAAAGTGGTTGGGAAATCAGAATATTTAATATAGTTCATGGGCGTGTGAAAAAAAAAGTGTGCAGTGACGTATAATGAGGGAAAGTGTTGTCACTGGCAACGAGTCTATGTGCTCAGTTTCAGCTCGATAGGTTGGCGGATCAATTAGTCGTCCGAAGATTTTACCCGCCAGATACACACGCACAAAAGTGAACATATTATTAATATTGTGAAGCATTTTTAACAACAACAACAACAAAAAAAAAAAAAAAAAAAAAAAAAAAAAAAAAAAAAAAAAAAAAAAAACAACTTTAGTTCAATTTTTTGTTCTGTCAATTAAAATGATTACTTTCAGCTCCTTGAATTTATAGAGGACTTGATGACCAAACTGGAGAACAGCAAGCAAACTGACGTGCTTGTGATGGACTTGTCAAAGGCATTTAACCATGTCAATCATAGTTTGCTTCTACATAAACTTCAGAGATTTGGGATCCAAGTCACTACTAAAACATGGATCTCTAGCTTCCTCAACAAAAGATGCCAAGCAGTAATGGAGGACGGTACAAGCTCCTCCTTTGTCGGTGTTAAGTCAGTGGTCCCCCAAGATTCGGTACTAGGCCCCTAGTACATATTAACAATGTGTGCAACCACGTTCTTAAGGCGTCATCTAAAGACAATAAACTCAAGTGTGAAAGAAAGAGCCTATAAAGCCTTTGTCCGACCGCTTTTAGATTATGCATCTTCAATCTGGGACCCATTTACCCAGAAGAGCATCGACAGGTTGAATGCGGTACAGCGAGGGGCAGCACGCTTTGTCCTGAACCGTTACAGGAATACCTCTAGTGTTAGCAGGCTGGTCACCATTGGAGGAACGACGACCTTCCAACCCCCAGTGCATGATACCTTCACTAAGTAGCCCTTGCAAACAGTGAAATATCCTCATCAACGCCAGGCACAGAAACATTGCGAATCCCTTCTACATGCGTAGGAGCCAGAAAGATCACTAAATTGATCGTGGGCCCTTAATATATAGAAGAAGAATTTCAGATTATCCCAAGGCAAATTACTTTTTTTGATGTTGTCGACATGACACCAATAATAGTACCGGTAGTGTGTCTCGACGTAAAATGTCCTTAAGAATTAATCTTAATTAAAAAAACGCACTATTCTTAGGCTATCAACAGTAATTTTCCTCGCGTTTTATGCGGACAATGTTTACGACTCATAAAAAAAAGCTTTTGGAAGAGTCTGATCCGTCAGCAAAGATTTATACTTACTTAACAATTTTTTGATCTCTTCGCTTTTAATGTTGACTCCGGCCACGTAAGTTGTGTAGGGGATGGTCAGTCCATTGGCCTGTGCAAGCTCTTGCAGTCTAGCCCACACCATGGCGCCTGCGGTGCCCAGAACTTTAGATTGGGGGGGGGGGTGTGAATTAACATTTTATGTACTAAATACAATGTCATTTGAATAATTTGGGAAATCCAATCTAAATATACGAAAGTTATTGTAATAAACCAAAATCACTGAAAATTTGCTATCTGCAACAACAACAACAACAACAACAAAAAAGCACATGCAAAGTTGAACAAAGGACCTGCGGATAAATTTTTTCAAATTGATTTTCCGGAGTTAGAGCCAAGATTAAAAAAAAAAATATTTATACTTACTAATCCTTGTATTGACCTTTAAAATCTTATTTTCACACAGTAATAATACATAAAGTCTTTTTAATTCCTGTAATCTTGGCTTTGTAAAACCCAACTTCCGGCAATAACTTGAATGTGGCGAACACTTCAGTTTTTTGTTGTTTTTTTTTAAATCCATGTACTTTCTATTTCTCGTTATTTCTTTATTTGTCCTACCTGCCGTGGAAGGCTTTTAGCCGAAACTTTCTTACTTTATTGTCTTGTCTTTCTTTTTCAGGCTCCCATATACATTGATCTTCTATTTCCTTTTTTTTTAAAAAAAACCGTCTATACGGACGTTAAACCAATTATTATTATTACGCAGACCCCCCATCCCCCCCAACCCCTTTTTACTATCAATATCAGCCCAAACAAATCGACCAACCCCCCGAGCATGAACTTACCCCAAAGTTTGTTGTCAGTCTTAAGTTCTTCTGGTACTTCTACCTTGGCATACACGTCACTTAAGTAGAAAACACCACCAGGCTAGCCATCCAAAAGTGAACGAGAGAGAGAGTTTTTCATTTAAACAGTTTGTTATAAGGTACACAAAAAAAATCATTAAACCTACACAAGTTTTGTCACAAGGAGACCACAATTTTAGACGTTCATATAAAGATTTTTTTTATTTTTTGGGGGTAAAATATTAATGTCACAAGGCAAAATACAAGTAGACTTGTAGTTGTAAAAAAGACATTTTGTTAAAAATACACTTCTCAATAGTGGAAGTGGAGGTCGCATTCCCAAGTTAAACATGTGGACAGCATACACCACGCCAGCACATTTCTACTCCTTAATTTCATTATGTATTTCTTTATTTTAGAATGCCCTTTAAGCACTCCAATCCCACAATCCATATCCATCGTTTTTGTTAAACCATTTTGTAAATCCATAGCATTATAATATGGACTTACTTAAATTGCCGAGCTGTTACATTTACAATATCTGATCTATATTTTGCTTATGGTGTGGCTGTTTCCTTTTAACAACCGCCCCTCCCCTTACTCAACATGTTTTATAATAATAGTACTGAGTGGGGGGGGGGGGGAAAGCTGTCAAGCAGTGAGCGTCTTGCGTGACGGCTGAACTCGTGTAAATATTTTGCTTATGGTGTGGCTGTTTCCTTTTAACAACCGCCCCTCCCCTTACTCAACATGTTTTATAATAATAGTACTGGGTGGGGGGGGGGGGAAAGCTGTCAAGCAGTGAGCGTCTTGCGTGACGGCTGAACTCGTGTAAGAAGGTTGCATTTTTTCGGAGGTGACTATTATTTTTATCAATAAAGCGCCACGATTATGGTGTAGGACTGTTTGTAGGACTAACTTTAGGACTGTCTATAGGACTGTCTGTAGGCCTGTTTGTTTAAGGGCACGCAGTTAGGGTGTTGTACGTACTATCTAAACGCATTCCTGGTCTTATCACAAATAATTATTTATATCTATCATACCATGGTCTTGAAATGAGCGATCTTTCCCAGATCAAAATTCGCAATTTTTTATTTGAAGTGCATTTCAATCTTTCTACAAAATCGTGCATATTAAATTTATTTTTAAACGTTTGGCAATAACAATTCAAAAGAAAATCTCTTGCACAGAAACAGATAGACGGAAATCGAATGTTTTGACGTGAATTGGGTTGAGAGTAGAGCATCTCCTAGAAGGTCACTTTACTAACAGTTGGTTTAAATATATATATATATATANTCACTCATTGATATGTGATCATCGGTGGTTCTTATGTTGGAATAATTCTGAGAATGCTAAATTGTATAATCGGAGGGACCCTGACCCTTAAGCTGAAACCTTACTAAGTAACTTACTATGTGATAAGTGTTTGAAACATGGTGGCTCGTTCTGAAAAAAAAAAATTACGTCTCCTATCCAATATTTATTTATCCACCCCCACCCCCATCCCCCACCCCCAAAAAAAACAACAACGCTACCGAGTTTTGTTCCTGGGCAGAGGATCTTCTTCTTCTTCTTCTTCTTCTTCCATATTTTGAGGGCCCACGATCAATGTATTAATCATTCTGGATCCCATGTTTCATAAGGGTTCGGGATGTCACTGTGCATGGTTTTTTTTTAGGGGATACATCACTGGGCTAATCAGCAGTGGTATTATGAACTGAGGGTTGGAAGACAGGAGGCAATAGACGCAAATGTGTCAAGTGTAGTCGCCTCAACTGTTGCTTTTTGGAAGCTTGATTGGACATGATTTATAAATGACACAATTTTAAGGCGCCAAGTTGTATCCAAAAAAAAAAAAAGTGTGAATTGTTTTACTTTCAGGTAAATATATTTCCACGAAAAGTCCACAAAATATTCGAAGAAAGAATTCATTTAGATTCGTTTACCTTGAGGGCGGCCACAACTTCTTTGAATCCTTTGTCTTGGTCAGGCAGCAAACAGAAAACACCATTGGACCTGGAGGGATATATTATGTAGACAGACACATTTTTGGGGACATCATTCTGTTTCAGTCGGTGAGTGAAAAGGAGAGCACTGGGGATGGGTGGGGCACGTTTCTTTATTTGAGTGAGATGAAAGTTATGAAAAAGGGGGTGGGTAGGGGGGCGGGGCGGGACATGTGACCGTCCCGACGGACACTGGGTGGGGGGTGGCGGGATATATTATTCCTTCATCGATCGTCGTCGACACAATTGATGTAATGAACTACATTTCTATCACGGTTAAGGACTACTCACACCACGACGTCAAACTCTCCCAAGTTCAGCTCACTCAGTCGCTCAGCGTTGGCGACTCGAAACTCAAAGTTTGGTTCTTCGTAGCCCCATGTCTTGGCGTGGTAGTCGGTCTGCTTCTTGCACTGTTCAATCTGAAATCAAACCACAACATTTGTTCCCATTTCCAAAATGGTACTATAAAAAATTTAAATAAAATATTTCTTTTTAATAATTTATTTTTTTTTAAAGTAAAAAAAAAACAACAGAATTGAAATATTAAATTGTAACATGCGTCAAAAAAGAAAGAAAACGTCATCATTTTTTTAACAATAATACAAAATAATTCGTATAGAGAAATTTGTTTGAAAGAAATTTCGTCGACGGAAAATTGATCAAAGGAAGTTTGGTCGAACGGAAATTTGATCGTATTTTATTTTCAGTTCACACGACCAAATTGTGCGTCAAATTTCTTTTTGAACGCATTATTTTGTTTTATTTTGTTTGTCGACGAAATTTCTTTCAAACAAGTTTCCGTTGACCAGAATAATTTGACGAAGCACCCACAAGCGATTCAGTGGCGTCCACTCCCACCACATATCCAGTGGGGCCAACAAGTTTAGCTAAAAGGAAAACGAGACTTCCGGATCCACATCCAACATCCAGTATCCGAGCGCCTTTGATGTTTTCTGGGATGACTATGCCGGACCCGTAGTATCTGGACAATGAGAGACTCCATATTAAATTCCATACAATGATATAAACTCGACTAATAAGTTCTGGATAATTATATTTAAAAATAAACATGTAAAAACTAGGCTGACATCATGCGATTACAGAGAAATAATCAAAAGGAAGGGAGGATTGATAGGAGTTATATTTTAGACACAAATCATATGGAATTATTATCCTTATAGTAAAAACGCCTTGAGTATGATCAGTGGCGTAGCGAGGGTGTTTGGCGCCCGGGGACAAAATTCGCGCCCGGGGACAAGATCCATTTTTAGCGCCCCTTTTTCTTTTTTTCAACTCTCAAACCCATTATTTTCATCAATAAAATAATATCAAACCCCATTTTGGCGCCCCTAACTAGCTGGCGCCCGGGGACATCTGTCCCCCCCCCCTGCCCCCACCACGCTACGCCTCTGAGTATGATGGAACTGAATGAAGATAGAATTAACCCCCAGAAACCCACACTAAGTTCTAATGGTTGGAAAATGATTTCCTTTGGTGTACGTGCATACTTTGGGTCAAGAATTCATTATCCATTATCAATTTTTGTATCATGTGCCCTTGACCTACTTTTTCATTTTGTTCCACTGGTGACCCACCGGGCCTTTCAGGTATAAAATTCACTCTAAGTTCCCGACCTAATTACATCTTATCTCCACTAAAAACTAGTGCGCCCTATCATTAGATTTTCACTAAATGGAACAAGTGTCTTCGAAATTGCATTTGAAATTTCACCATCAGATGGAGGCATATTTTTGAGCACCATCCCATACGTTTAAAGTTTTTATAACTCTGCTCAATCTTTCAAAAGGAACGGTTGAGGCGACAACACTAGACACATTTGTGTCTATTGCCTCAAGCCTTCAAACCCCTAGTGCATAATTTCCTCATCACCACCAGTAACAGAAACATTGCAAATCCCATCTACATGCATAGGAGCCAAAATGATCAATAAATTGATCGTGGGCCCTTAAGATATAGAAGAAGAACCTCATCGTTTAATCCCCATAAACCAGTGGTTGGCACATTGCGGCCTGAGCGCCGCATGCGGCTCTTTAACGAGATGTGTGTGGCCTCGGCCAGCTGGCAACTGGCAATAAATCGGTTTCGACTCCAAAAAAACATGGTTCTTGAAAAGAAATTTGTGCCCAAAATTGTTTTAATCGTCCTGCTGCTCATTTGTGTGTGTGTGTGTGTGTGTGTGTGGCTCTTTTGACAACTGAGTTTGCCGACCACTGTCCTAAACGCCGAAAGAGATGCCGAGAAGTACAGAAGAAGTGAGTTACCTCTTCATGGTCTCCTCACTAAGCTGTTGTATAAGGGCGGCAATCCGAGGTGGGATGGCGTTGACTCTCGTGGTGAAGTTCACCTTCTCACAGACATCGGTGTAGAAGCCGATGCTGGCGTCTGTCATAGGGTGGTTGCTCATGGCGACTATCTTAATGAGAGGTTGAGCTTCTTCAGAAATACATAAATTAAACAATAACAACAAAAAATAACGAGATAAAAAAAAAAGTGGTAAGGAATAGTCGCTACGTTGTCTTAGCTACGCCGCATAACGTTCCTCAATGTTTGCACCATAACTTGGTGTGAAATTTTAGGGCGGTTGGTCAAATTGAAATTTTAAGTAGGCCTATTTCATGTCTAAGACACTTTTCCGGTCATTTGATCTAGACATTGTTGTCACTTATATTATTTCAATTCAAAGGTTACGATAAAACCTCATGAATTTCGGTAGAACCCAAGGGTGGGAAGTCTGCGACCGCAAAGCCGCATGCAGTCTTCTTCGTCTTCAAGCGTGGCCTCTTGACTGAGTCCAAATTTTGTTGAAAAAATCCTTTTATTAATTTTAGTTTACCTTCCATGTAGTAGGCTTATTCGGTCTAAAAGAATGATGACATTGCTGTTATTTTAAGTTTACCTTCCATGTAGTAGGCTGATTCGGTCTAAAAGAATGATGACATTGCTGTTATTTTAAGTTTACCTTCCATGTAGTAGGCTTATTCGGTCTAAAAGAATGATGACATTGCTGTTATTTTAAGTTTACCTTCCATGTAGTAGGCTTATTCGGTCTAAAAGAATGATGACATTGCTGTTATTTTAAGTTTACCTTCCATGTAGTAGGCTTATTCGGTCTAAAAGAATGATGACATTGCTGTTATTTTAAAAGATATTACACGCGAAAAACCGCGTTCAAGCTGTGTGAAGAAGATAGTGGGACAAGATGTGTGGTAGCTTGAAATAGAAAGACAGGACCAATAAAAGAAGAACGTTTCGGCTAAAAGCCTTCCTTTGCGGAGAGGACACATGAAGAAACAACAAGAAATCGAAAGTAGTTGAAAACCTTAAGTGTTCCCTATATTATCATTAATATGTTAGTAGCCTTTTAAAATAAACAAATAATTGTTGTTCCACTATTTTCATTTATTTAAAATAATAATTTACCTACATTTTTAAATACAAATTATAACTAATTTAAAGTTTTTTGAATGCGGCCTTTCGTTCATGCAAATTCTCCACACCCCTTGATTGTACCCAATTATACGCAAAACAATATAATATGACCCCATTATACTTTTTTAAACCTGCTCATAGCAGACAAACATAAATAACAAACAAACCACGGTCAGCGTGAACTCTCTACTTACCAACTATCTAGAGAGCTGTTGAAAGTTACAAGGACGAGTTGTGCAGCAGCATACGCAGTACAGAACCATGAACACAGTCAGACAGACCTCGTGGGACAGGCATGCCCATTACTTTTTTTTTCTGGTTAAATTTTTTTTTCTCCAGAAGAGCACAAAACTTACGGTTCTTAAATTGTACATTTAAATACATTTCAATACCCTGCACTTGGACTTACGGCGGAAAGAAGAAGGAATTATTGATAAACAACTTCATCAAAAAGTGTAATCATAAACAAAAGTCATAAAAAGACACGAAGAAAGACAATCGGCCCTCTACCCAATTGCTTTGTTTCTTAGTGAGTCTTATTTGAGAACCACTGGAAGTAGATGCATGATTCTAACAGCCGCAGTTAGCAAGCGCGCCGGGGTGACCCTGCAGATGGGGTAATTTGATAACTGGGATGAATGTTTCACGGTGGGACCAGGGGCGTGGGGCACTATTCAACATCTGGCCCTAAGTTTCGTCCTGTTGAAGCTTTCGGGAGTGGGTTGGGGGTAGAGATGACTGACATCTCTCGAACCTTCAGAAGGATCGAGGCTCATAAGGTTCAACATATTTATTTTTTTAAATAGTTTCAGTACAATTTCTGTCTCCACATCCCAGACGTGGTCTAAATATATCTCCCGAGCACCGGTAGATGTCATTTGCTGCACGTTGATACGGCCTCTAGGACTTCCATAACGAATCAACGTTCAATATCAAATAAACTGTCAATTTGCTTCCTTGACTTCAGGCCATCTGACCATACAATAAATATTCCAAATAGTTTCAACCATCAGTCTTTCATAATGTTTGCTACGCCCCTGCCAGTGAGTGCAGCTTCATCGCAATATTAAAAAGAGCAGAAAAAAATATGTCGGGTCGGGAATGACTTACTGGGTAAATTTTATATGTCAAGGTTGTGAGCCCCACTGGCAAGTTAACCTGTTCCCACTTAAGATATATATATTTTAAAAAAAAATAAAAAAATTGCGTTTTCATTTTAAATAGCAGATAATTTACACAAAGGCTAGCATTGGCTTGCAATGTGTAGAAATGCTAACGGTAAAATAATATTATTTTCATAATAGGATTTATATTAAATTAAATAATATATATATTACATATTTTAAAAAAAAATTAAATGAACGTTTACTGTGATCGCATTAGGGCTTTTCATTTCTATCACCGGAAAACGTGACATCGCATTAAGTAATGTTACTATTTTAAGACAACGTTTTCGTAAAACATTGCTTCTAACAATTTATTTCCACATATCTATAGCAGTAGCAATAAGTTTATAAAATCTTTCGTAAAAATAAAGTTGCAAAACACGTTTTCGTCTAGGAAAGGACCCGTACTACGCCGGCTCACAATAACGTAGAAGTACCGAGCAGCTGTTAAGAGATTGGCCAAACGGAATACCCGGATGTTTAATTACTATCTTAATGAGGTTGGCCAGACTGTATGCCCGGATGTTCTATTAATAGATCTCCGCCATTTAAACGACAAACCCTTATTGGAAGGCAACCATAAGAGGAGAGTGCGGGGGAAAAAAAAAAAGAGCGTTGCTACATTTTTGATGTTGTGTAGGTGGCGAATACCGAGCCTGCAGTCGAGGGCACTGAAGAAAAGTTCACGAGATATCAACTGTCTGTGATATGGTGACCTCTGTAAAAAGGGAGGGGGGTGTATGGGGTCAGTGCAGCTCGGGATGCACTCCACAAGCGGATGTCATACCGGATGTCAGATACCCAGCGTTCCTAGCCCATGTACCACATTTCCAGACGACACTAATGACGCGGACCACCATTACACACAAAACGGCTTAGTTGGTGGGGAGGGGGGGGTAAATGAGCTATTTAATATGTTTACCACTAAAGGAATTTGCCTGGCATTTTGCTATAAATAATGTATATTATCGTACTTGATGCCACCATACCGCTAAACGACTTGACACAGTTGTATATTATCGTACTTGATGCCACTATACCGCTAAACGACTTGATACAGTTGTATATTATCGTACTTGATGCCACCATACCGCTAAACGACTTGATACAGTTGTATATTATCGTACTTGATGCCACCATACCGCTAAACGACTTGATACAGTTGTATATTATCGTACTTGATGCCACCATACCGCTAAACGACTTGATACAGTTGTATATTATCGTACTTGATGCCACCATACCGCTAAACGACTTGACACAGTTGTATATTATCGTACTTGATGCCACCATACCGCTAAACGACTTGATACAGTTGTATATTATCGTACTTGATGCCACCATACCGCTAAACGACTTGATACAGTTGTATATTATCGTACTTGATGCCACCATACCGCTAAACGACTTGACACAGTTGTATATTATCGTACTTGATGCCACCATACCGCTAAACGACTTGATACAGTTGTATATTATCGTACTTGATGCCACCATACCGCTAAACGACTTGATACAGTTGTATATTATCGTACTTGATGCCACCATACCGCTAAACGACTTGACACAGCTGTATATTATCGTACTTGATGCCACCATACCGCTAAACGACTTGAAACAGTTGTATATTATCGTACTTGATGCCACCATACCGCTAAACGACTTGACACAGTTGTATATTATCGTACTTGATGCCACCATACCGCTAAACGACTTGACACAGTTTGATTTCTTTCACAACTTCCTAAGTTTTTTGTTTTGTTTTTTGTTTTTTGCTCACTTTATTCTCTTTCATTTTTTCCCACGGCCAATATGAGTTCATAGGCACCCGCAGCGTTTGCTAAGAAAAGGGTGGGCTGCGGCGGAAAGGGGTGGGGGTTCAGGTGACCTCTTTCAAAAAATGACTAAATTACTAAACTAGTCTTCAGTCAGCACTAGCAAATTGTGAACTTAATCATCATACAGATCAACGAAACAGTCAGAAAATATTCAGACAATGTATGTGATGCCCGTGTAACCGCCAGACAATGTCATTATGGGATTTCTGTGAAACAGACAATTAGTCAGACAATGTAAATATGTGATTCCTGTGAAATAGTGAGACAATATTGAGATAATGTAATTATGCGCTTGCTGTGAAACAGCCTGACAAAATTCAGACGATGTAAGTATGTGCTTACCTTGAAACAGTCAGACAATACAAAGACAATTTAATGATGTGATTCCTTATAGACTGATCACCAGAATCTCTTTTTACTATATCGCTACACGCACGACTGCAGTAGGGCCTATATCATCAAGCTAAATTTTTTTTATAGGAAATTCTTAAATGAAATATCTATCTAACTAAAGGTTTACTTACCGGTGTATGTTAGGGATTATGGAGAACAAGATATGCCTCAAAGTTCAGCCCGAAAAGATTCAATAACGAGGAGATCATTATTTGAATGTTTTACCCAGATGAATTCAAAAACAAATAACAACCAAATGTTTTATTTAATTATTCCGTGCCTCGGGTTATCTGGATACCAATTGGTATTAATAAGCCGCGATCGTGGTGTGTAACGTGTGAGCAATTGATGTGGTGTGTTACTTGTGTGCCATTAATAGGCGGTGTTACTTGTGTGCCATTAATAAGGTGTGTTAGTCGTGACCCATTAATGTAATGCGCTACTTATGAGCAATTAATGTGGTGTGTTACGTGTGAGCCATTTATGAGGTGTGTTATTCGTGTGTCATTGATGTGTTTTGTTACTTGTAAGCGACTAATGCGGCGTGTTACTTTTGCCCAAATAAGGTGGTGTGTTACATGTGACCCATTAATGTGATGTGTTACATGTGACCCATTAATGTGATGTGTTACTTGTGACCCATTGATGTGGTGTGCTACTTTTGAGTCATTGATGTAGTGTGTTACGTGTTATTAGCCATTGATGTTGTGTGTCTGGAATTTTATTTAGGAAATTGTGGATGCTACGACTTCAAATGTAAGTCTATCAGCATCTAACTATTTTGACCCTATATTGAATATTCTCAAGCACACGAGCCGCTGCTGTATGCTGACTTTTCTCAAATTCTACCATTTAAACCATTTAATGAAGTCACGCTATTCCTCAATTAATTCCCCAAAAGATTATTATAAAAACAGCACAACAAAATCATCTTTACGCATTCCTTTTACAGTAGTCATGGCAACAATGAAATTGAACAGCGAAACTTGAAATAGTTCAGCCCGATGAGTAAATCCGAGGTTTAAAAAAGATTTGAGAACCGAAAGTGTCATCTTTTCTGTATTTATGTAAGCAGCACCAATCTCCTGTTTAACATTTAAAAAAAAAAAAAATGTTACTCAACATTTCTTGCTTAGCCTTAAGAGCATCATGTGAGTTCTGCACTTGTTCTCCTATATAGACTGTATTTTGGACGCAAATAACTTATGTAATATTTACTTTCAACAACCAGGCCACAAAAAGTAAATACATAAAATAAAAAAAAAAAATGTATTGGATAGTGGTTGGCGATTTGGAAGAAGTTATGGAAATACTATGGGGTGGTGGTGGGGGATGGTGGAGAGGGATTGCAGGGATTTGGGTGGCAGAGATTTGACAGGGAAAATAGATTATGCTTGTGGACGGTTTTGTTTTGTTTTTTCATTGAAGGAATGAAAACAAATGACCTTATTTAAGTTATTTGTTGAGCCATGTTGATGAGTTGAACAAAGGTCAGCCTGGAAGATGTTTGTCTGGACCAGTGCCGTAGAAGCAGGTAATTGAGGGGGGGGGGGTGGAGTTAAATAGCTCAGGGTCACATAAGTAGGTCATTATATGAAGAAGAAGGACACGTGTTCAGATGTAATTCACACATGCCATTAGCTATAAGATATTTACAGCTGGGAAACTAAAGTAACGGACGAAGAAGAAACTTTCCCAGGACATATAATAATGGCTAAAAATAGAATTTAAAAAAAAATTGTCTAACGTGTTCGTGANCCCCCCCCTCCCCCCCCCCCCCCCAACTGGCGCTTGGTGAGTGACAACAGTCCTGTAACCGAAGATAGACTCCCTGCTCGTCGTTGTTTACCGAAATCCCCGTTTAAAGAATTTTTTTTTTTTCTAGTTAAGAACAAGACAAAGATTCTAAGACATTGTATG